TAGAATGCTTTGAAGTCAGGTATTGCAGTGCCTCTAGCCTTGTTTTTTCACTCAGGATTGTTTTGGGTAGTTCATGTCTTTTTTTTCCGTTCAGTTTTTTGGAGTGTGTTTTTCTATTTCTGTAAAGAATGTCATTGACATTTTGCTAGGAATTGCATTGAGTATGTAGATGACTTTCGGCAGTATAGACTTTTTAACAGTATTTATTCTCACGAACATGGGACATCTTTCTATCTGAGGGGTGAGGTGGGGTCATCTTCCATTTCTTTCATCAGTATTTTCAGTTTTCATTGTAGAGATCATTCGCTTCCTTGGTTAAATTTATTTGTGGGTATTTTTAATTTTTTATACCTCTTGTGAATGGGATTGCTGTCTTAATTTGTAAACAGTTTCATTATGGGTACATGAAAACTGCTGATTTTTGCATGTTAGTTTGTATCTTGCACCTTTACTAAATTTATCAGTTCTGACAGATGTTTGGTGGAATCCTTGGGTTTTTTCTATATATAAAGCCATGTTATCTGCAAACAGGGGTAATATGAGCTCTTTCTTATTTAGATGCCCTGCATTTCTTTCTCTTTCCTTATTGCTCTGGCTGAGACTTCTATGACGGATTGAGTAAGAACGGTGAAAGTACACATGGAGGAAACGATTTGACTTGGATACATTTTCCTTTCCTTTTTTGAGCGTATCTGGGATGACTGCTGTGAAGCATTTGTTCACTGGCATCTCCTTCTGGCTAGTTCTGCTGCTGCCTCCCTTTGCTGGTGCCCAGGGTCGCGTCTGTGTCTGCAGTTCAGCTACCCACGGGGCTCTGGTACCAGCTCCCAGCGACTGGTGGGAGATTACTTTGGGGAAAGCAAAATGAGTGAACCTAGACTTACCTACACATTTATTTTTCATCATGTGGTTTCATGTTTAAAAGAATTGAAAACAACCTAAATGGGCCAGGGATAATTTATTAAAATAAAGCAAATCCACAGAATAGAATAGTATTCAGACATTAAAAAAGATGCTTAGGTCATAGTAGACGAAGAATTCATTCTCCTTTACTGAATTAGGCATATATGTGCTAAAATAAAATTACTGGGTAGCTGGGCCTGAGAATGTTTTGTTTTGGTTTTTTTTGGTACCAGGGATCGAACGCGGGTCCTTGCGCTTGCACAGCAGGCGGCAAAACCACTGAGCTAAATCCCTGGCAATGGGCCTGAGAATGTTAATAGCAGTTATCTCAGGTATAAAGATTGTGGATTATTTTATTTGATCATTTTTGGTACCCTTTTCTAAATGGTGAAAAGATTGTGTATTTAGTTTGCCCCTGGACTCAGTTTAGATTATCCATATTTATTTATTTGGTACTGGGGACTGACCCAGGGCCTTCTCACTGCACTACAACCTCAGGCCTTTGATTATTATTTTGAGACAGGGTCTTCCGAAGTTGTTAAATTGTCCAGGCTGGGCTCAAACTTGTAATCCTTCTGCCTCGGCCTCCCAGAGTGCTTCGGTTATAGCCCAGTGCCACCTCACCTGGCCTAGATGACCTCAACTTTGTTAGCAGCACCAAGGCGTTGTCATTGGGAGCCAGTGACCCAAGGCCACCTCCGTGGAGCCTTGCGTAGCTGTCCTGCCCTCATAGCAGCTTGGGGCCTGCACGGTGCTCAGGCCTGCTTCTCCTGGGGAGCTCTTCCTGGGCCACACAGGGCTGTGGCTCTGGACCACTCAGTGTCACTTTCTTGGCCTTCAGAGCCTTCACTTTGTCCCGGCACTGAGAGGGCAGGCCGCTTCCTTCTCTCTTTGATGGTGTCGCAGCCGTTAATAGTTACCCGGTGGTAACAGCATGAATGGTTTTACTCTGTCGTTCTCTGTACCTTTTAAAATAGTGACCATATAAATCACATTTGTAGCAAGAAAAATACTTTTAGTTTTTTTTCAAAAGTCTAACCTACATGCTACTAATTTTCTCCTCACAGTCTTTGTTCATGTCCATTTTAGATATATTAAAACAGTACCAGTAATAAATGCTGCAAAATCATTTTGAATCCAAAGAAAGATCACGATTTCAGTAATTATTACAAAAGAATCGCCTTCAAATAAGTGAAACAGTGTGTACAGAAATGTGCAACCGAGTGTGGTGGTACATGCCTGTAATCCCAGCACTCGAAGGCTGAGGCGCAGGAGGATCATCATGAGTTTGAGGCCAGCCTGAATTACACAGCGAGACCCTGTCTCAAAAAAAAAAAAAACCCCAAAAACCAGTCCATAATACACTGTTGTCATAGTCTTAGAATAATACTTCAATGCTTCCTTCCTATGACAGAGTCAGGAGGCCGTCTAGCATAAGATACTGGGGAAATGGAAACAGGTATGCTAGCAAAGAATGGGAGGGGAAGCTGAGGACAAAACACTTGGTCTGTGAGGAGAGCAGGCCCAGCCATGATCGTGGATCTGGGCTGTGGAACCGCTGCCCAGTACAGCAGCCTTGGGCTGCTCTGAAGAGTGCACCACGGTGGGCTGTGCATGCGTGAGGGGAGCCATGGCTCTCGGAACTTGGCCTCTCATGCAGGCACGGCCGGGCCACTGAGCTCCATCCCGGCCAGCCCTTTCTGCTTCTTAAGACGGCGTCTTTAGTTTTCCAGACTTTGCTGGGATTACAGGCGTGTGCCGCTGTACCCGTACACAGTGGGTCTTGAGATGATGTAGAAAAAGTGAAATAACCTCAGAAATTTTACAATACTGAATACACATTTAAATGGTACACATTCATCTTTTTTATTAATTTTAATTACAGATGCTCCTCCATGAATGATGGGGTCACATTCCTATAAATCTATCTTAAATTGAAAATATTAAGTAGAAAAAGCCTTTACCCTGACCTACAAACCTCATAGCTTAGCCTGACCTACTTTCGACATGCTCAGAACACTCGCATTAGCCTGCAGTTGGATGAAGTAATCTAACCCAAACCCATAAAGCATAAAACATTAATAAAGTGTCGTGCCATAAAATGGTAAGTGCTGGAGATCGCGTGTCTGTGTCCAAAAGATACTGGCGCCAGTGCAGGGCCCAGTGTGGGTCCCTTCGCTGCCAGGCACGGTCTGAGCATCATCCTGGCTCCTGCTGCTGGTCCACCTCGCCAGTCGGCTGTCCTCACAAGCCCAGGAAAGAACCAGAGTTCCCATTGAGAGTTCACTCTCCACCAGATGTGCGTACTTTCACTCCACAGTGAGGTACAGGTCCTCAGTAGGAGCCATCTGCATTTTCAGATGTCTCCCTAGATCCTGATACTCCCTAAGGAAAAGTAAGCCTCCGTAGGGAATCAGCCCCCCAAAAGTAAATACTTTATCTTTTCTTTGATGAGCCAGGAACTGAAAAGGTTTCCTCTGGTGGGTAACTTGCTTCTCCTAAACGTTACCAGATACAGCATTTCTGCTATTTTTAGAACAGTGACAACATTTGAGTAGTTTGGAGATGGTGATTATTTCTGTTTCAGATCATGTAGCATGGATGAGCCAAATCAGTAATTAAGTGGGTAGATATTTAAATGGACTTTTACTTGGATCATTGATAAATTCTACCAGTTTAGTTTTCTGAGACTACAGTGAAAGCACGCAAACTGATCTTTTTAAATAGGGGAGAGAAGAACATTTCACATATTTTTGGCAGGTTAATGAAAAATTCCTAATAGACTCATGCCTTCAAAGTAATTTGGTTCAGATAAACTGATTATACAAAATACCTGTAAGAAAAGTAAATTATGAACCTAGTAAGATAATGTTATGTGAATTTGGGTTTTCTTTACAGTTCTTGGAATTTCAGAAGTGTGGGTGTTTTCCTTCATAGCTGGATGGTAGATTATGTTCGTGTTGCCTGTAGACTATGTTCATTACATTGCGTGTGTGTGGAGCTTGTGAGCTTATGGTCTCAACATCGAGGTTAGGAGAGGTTTTATTGGAAATCAGAATGCTCCTGGGTTTCCAGGAGGGGTCCTGAGTGGGTGGCCACTGAGGCTCTTTGTCAGGAGTATTCTGTACAGCAAAATCACAGCGTGGGTCTGTCATCAACTGCAAGGTCACAAGTCTAGTTGTTTAGCTAATACTGATCCAGCAGGGAAGTAAAGCACACAGCAAGGGTACATGGTGAGCATCACTGGCTTTAGTGCACCTGTCACTTCTAGTCATAGAACAAAAGCATTCCTGGAAAGGGATGAGCATGTGGGTCCGGATGTGCTGGTCCCCCACCTGTGTGTCGTGCCCAGCTGGGCTACTGTAGCAGGTAGTGGCATCCCAGTATAGCCTAAGCTGCTGCTGATCCCTGGGGGCTGCAGGCCTGGCTCCTGCATCTCCATCTGTTCACATTCACCTCAGTCTGCAGCACAATCTTGCTGTGACCTCTTTTCCAGTCACTTCCTGGAGAGTCCAGTCACTCTGACTGCTGTTAATTTCTAACCTCGCTGTCTATAACAACATGACCCAAAATGAAGATTCTACTATATTATTTAGTAGAAATTGAAACCAACCAGGAAATGTAAGCGTTATTCTTACCTCTTTTCTAAGCAAATATTTTTATATGTTGCTATGACAAAGAAAATAGTTATACTTCCTCTTTATATAGTTTGTGAATTTCTTGTTGCTATTCTTTCATTTAAGGAATGGTATGGATAATTAATTCTTTTTGCTAGGAAAACTAGATCCAAGGATAATTAAGGCTTCCCCAAAACACAACGAAAAATGTTAGAAGACTCGAGTCTCACTGTCGGGACGGTGGGCCGCTTGCTTGGCAAAGGAAAGCCGGATCTCGGTGCAGGGAGCAGCAGCTGGCGACTGGTTCAGGCGGGGACCAGCCCTGCGCTTGCTCAGCACGTGGCGTACAGTTTCCTTCTGCGTCACATTTCATTGATTCGGGTGTATGTGGCACTGTGCAGCTGGGAGAGCGGGAGTTCGTGACCTGTGAGCCACCTTTTGATCAGGCTGTGACTGATGATGACTGGCTTTCTTTTCCAGGTCCGGCCCAGGGTCAGATGCAGGCCCCACCGGGGCCAGGTTATGGACTGCATGGCCAGGACTACGCCGCTCCCTCGGGACCTTACTCCCCGGGACCTGGGAAGGCTGGCCCGGAGGGCCAGGGCCGGTGCGGCGGGTACTACTCTGGTCCCCGTCCAGGACCGGCCGGCCTGGGCCTGGCCGGCGTGCAGCGGGGCTACGTTGGGGGAATCGCTGCGTTCGGGAACTACCACGGCAGCCCCGCCGCTGCCCCTCAGGGGTTTCCTGCGACCTGCAGCCCTCAGCTGGCGCCCACCTCCTGCCGCTCCTCTCTGCCTGCTGGAAGCCCCCACGCGTCCGTGCTTGCCGCCGCCACCGGCTGGAGTGCGCCCCTCACACCTGTGCCTTTGCCGCCCCCGCCGGGCTACAGCGCCTCGCCGTGGTCGGTGCAGGCCCCGGACCGTCTCCTGCGAAACCACGCGGGACCCTCGGCTTCCGCCGGCAGCAGCCCTGCAAACCCGGGTAGGTATGGGAAGTCCCCAAAACGTGGCTCAGTAGCAGGGCCGCGCAGGCTGCTGGGTGTGCACCGCTACAGACAGCAGCAAAGCTCAACCGGCACGTTGGAGATTAACTCTGGTTGCAGTGTGTGGTTTGCTTTGCCCATCGTGATGTTTAGCCGAGTCCGGCGTGGCCGCTGCTTTCTCTTATATTAGCTCAAACTGGGTAGGTGTTTTTCCATCCCGAGCCCCTCACAGCAAAGGTGAAGACGAAACACTGCATCAGCTTGCCTAAGGGAGCCTCTGGGGACTCACAGAAGGCAGTTCCTGCACGGAAGCTGTTTGCTCTCTCTGAATTGCAAATGAGGAAGACTAAGAAGGGACGGAAGATACATGCAGAGTGCCTGGGTAGTTGGCTTTCCTGACCTTCCAAAGCCAAGATGTAGCTGGGTATGGTTTAAAAGTTATGTATGTACGAGACAGTGGTACCTTGGTTCATGAGCTTAATGCTTTCCACGATTCTGATTGCAGACAGAAATGAATGAGAAATTTCCCCATCAAATGGGATCCCATTTCCCATAAGGTCAACATAGAGCCTGACCATTGAATTTGATTGGGTTCTTGTCCAATTTGGTTTGTGACCGGAGCCATGGAAAGAATTAAATTCATGAACTGATGTACCACTGTGTGTGGTTTGTAAATTACAGTTTCTGGCAGGTGTGGTGGCGCACACCCGTAATCCCATCACTTGGGAGGCTGAGGCAGGAGAATTGCCACAAATTCAAGGCCAGCCTGGACTACATAGTGAATTCAAGGTCAGCCCAAACTACACAGCAAGACCCTGTTTTTGGGGGGAAAAAAATGTGTGTTTTCTGAATGAAGATGTATGCAAAAAGTGTGGCAGGTGTAAACCGTGGTAGTGTCCTGGGTGATGTCCTTAGTGTCCAGGCAGGTATCATCAAGCCCTATGATGTAGAAAGATAGCCTTCCCTAGACTTTCAGATTATTTTAAATAAGAGCCTTAAGGTGAGCATGGCATGCCTGTAATCCCAGCACTGTGGGAGGCAGAGGCAGAAGAATCAGGTTTGAGCCCAGTCTGGGCAATTTAGAGACTTAATGAGACCCTGTCTCCAAATAAGTTAAAGGGGGTGAGGCTAGGGATATAGCTCAGTGCAAAGGCCCTTGGTTCAGTCCCCTGTACCACCCCCCCAAAAAATGATGAGTTCATACTCTAAATGTGGAATAAAAAGAACTTAAGTGTCATCTCATTTGACTCCTTAGGAAAACATATTGGGCTGAGGAATTAGCTCAGTGGTAGAATACTTGTTTAGCAAGCATGAGGCCCTGAGTTCGGTCCTCAGCACCAAAAAATTAAAAAACAAAAAAGCAAAAGGGAAAGCATATTAATGTGTTTGTAATCCAACACTAGAACTTCTGATTATTTTATTAAAAAGTTTACTCCAAATATGTATGTCTTGGGTGCTATGTTTAATGTTAGCTTGGGTTGCTGTTTGAAGAGTATCATTTCGTTGGACCCTTTCAAAGTTGCAGACTGTCCCTTCAGGTGACTGGTGAAATTCAGCAGGCAGTCGTGGGCAGGTACATGCAGTATGCTGTTGTTACAGAGTTCAAAACAGAAAGTGAGGGTCAGGCTGCCTGCCATGGTGCGCTCTTCACAGAGTGGGGCAGGGGACAGTAGACACAGCTCATCCGTCCAGGCAGGGGGGCCTTCCTCGAAGATCTTTTGGCACTGGGCTACCTCTGGCAGAGGGGAAGGCAGGCTCTTGAGCATGGTCTGTCTCTGCTTCAGGGTCTGTGTGTGTGCACCTGTGTGTGCGTGCACCCAGCCTCGGATGGCTGTCTGAGTCTGCACCTGCGTGCTCCTAAATATTTTTATCTATTTTGTGTGATGCTGGGGGCTGAGCCCAGGGTCCTGTCTTGCAGGCAAGCATTCTGCCAATAGTGACATCTCCAACCCATGTTAAATACTTATGTTGCTGGTTATGTTTGCAGTTTTAAGGGTTTCATTACTGTGTCTCTGGTTTAAAACTGCAGCGCTGTATCAATTTGCATAGTTCTTGGTTAGCTGGGCGCTTCCTCTGCAGGCTGTCTGGGGCTCATTCACATGACTTCACTGGGCTGTGACCGCTGTGGACAGCCAGCAGTTGGCACAGACCTCCCCAGATGGGATCCTGTTGCCTTGCCTGCACGCGGGGTCTGCAGTCTTCTGAAACCTGAGGTCTGGGACATGCACGCCTTTATTTCTGCCGAAGCTTGCTGCGTAGAGCCCGCCACAAGATTATTTCTAGTCCAAAGGGTGGGAAAATAGAGTCCACCTTATTAAAAAGAACAGCACATTATTGTGATGATATTCAGTCTCCCAGACTGATGGCAAGGTCACATGTTTAGAGTCCCTTTACTCACTTCCCTGATTACATTTACACTGGGGGACACACGGCGTAACACACTTTGTTCTGTCCCCACATTTCCTACGTTTGCTTCTGCTTAGACCTGTTTATTTACATGTGTGCATAAATCATCCTTACATACACGCACATACATGTGCCTGTACGTGTGTTTATTCAGCACGCTGTCACTGCTTACTGTAAGTTTGCAGCCAGTCCCCAGTTCTGCAGTCTTGAAGATGATCCTATGAGGTCAGTGTTTTTCAGCTGGGGGAAGTTTGCCCCCGAGTAGGCCGTTAGTAATTTGAACTCACAGCGGCTGCTGTGTTTGCATGAACTTGTTCGCGAAGTCCAGCCCAGTGTTGTGGTCACATGTGACACGGGGCGTCCAGTTAGAGACAGCACGTGAGCAGGGGCAGTTGACAATGCAGAGCGAGGTCAGAGCTGACACTGGAAGCATTTGTGGACTCCAGGACCGTTTCCTGCAGTCAGGCAGCAACCTCTGAGGTCTTACCTGGGGCCCTGTGGTGTGCTGCAGTGAGTAACAGGAGTGGTCATCAGTGAGGATATGCTGTTTGGGGTTCATTTTGTCTAAGAAGGTAAGAAGTTGTGACATTTTAGGAAAATTGCCATGAAAAAGTATTAAAACAATTGGTGAGTAGTTTTCAGGTTTTTTGGAAAGTCTTGTTTCTTTTCTACATAGACAAAATAAATATGCTACAAAACTTCAAATCCAACTGTATTTTGTTCATAAGTGTTTTAATATATTTCAAGTTCGTTGCTGTGAATAAATAGTTTCTTGTCTCCAGTTGCAGACTCTCTAGCCTATCCTGGCAGGCAGAATGCCCCACCTCCCAGGTCCAGCCCGGTGATGTCCACTGTGTTGCCAGGAGCCCCGTCACCAAGAGCGCCACCTGCCGGGAAGCACCCCAGGGAGCCTGTGGCCTTGGGTGTCCCACTGCCAGGGCTGCCACCGCAGAAAGGTACGGGAGATACCCGCTCTCTTCCTCGGACCACGCTCCACAGCAGCTGGCTTTAAAAGCCCAACTGTATAGCCATAATTTATAAAAAGACAAAAGTAATTTATAAAATCAGCCCTATGTATTTTATGTAATTATGTCAAATTTACGTACCGCTTTGTATTTTGCTTTTACATTTATTGAATTATATGCAGTTCTTCATATATACTGTACTCTTTTTAGCCACTTTTGTAACTAGTAATCCATTGTGTTACAGCTTTATGATTTACTGATCCATCCCTGTATCATGGGGCATGTATTTCCTTTTTCTTTTTAAAGATCGTTATAAATTTTTTTTAGGATCAAGCAACCAAGATTTTCCTCTTTAGTGAGTCTCCATGTCCTATTGATATTTCTGTACTTGTCATTATTGTTAATAGAAAGTATCCTTTGACACAGTTTTGGAACTGAGAGAGGGTGAAAATGAAATTGGCCCCACCCTTGCATCATTAATTTAATATTCTTAAATAAGGAGTAAAATGTGTTATTTTGATCCTTTTCCTCTACATTGTCTTTTTTTTTTTTTTTCAAAAGGTTTGTTTGTTACTTTCTGCCTGGCTAAAACTCCAAAGTATTCATGTTTCAGGTTAATGTGATGTATTTTTCATATGATCAGAGGTAACTGAACTGTTTGCAGATTATCTATAGTTTGTGTTTTCAGAGCAGCTGAGGATGTAGCTCAGTGGCGCCACACCTGCCTCACAAACGCAAGGTCCTGAGTTCGATCCCCAGCACCAAAACAAAAATGATTATCGTATGCTTTCAGAGCAACCATAGTACTATTTTAAGGCCTATACTTACTGGGCGCTGACAGCCTCAGACCTTGAGTATAAAGAATCCTTCTGTCATGTTCTGAAGCTCAGCAAAAGCAGAAGTATAAATTCATAGACTGACCTTGCAGTTTGTATCTACTGTGTGTGGGGGCAGCAGAGGGATTTCTGTCAGTTGATCAGATTATACATTGTAATGTTCTTGTCTTTAAAAGAAAACCAATTGAAGCACTAAAGAGTATTCATTGATTCCCAAAAGCCAGTGAGTATACTGGGAATAAAACCTAGTTCTTAAAAGCATTTGCCTCCAAAGTGAGGTAGACCTGGTAAAAATGTTTTATCATGAGTAGAAAAAGCTTTAGGGCAGGTTGGCCCTGACTGAGTAAATGGTATCTTCTTTATGCTTCTCTTCCATACTGATGGCTGTTTTCCATTTCTTACATAGCTTACATCTTTTGACCCTTCACATTGCTTCTGCTAAATTCTTTCTTCCTATTTTCTTTTTGGCCATCCTGCTTTACATACCATCCTGCCATTTTAATATAAATACCATTTTGAAAAGCTTTTGGCCAATAATCACAATTATTTCTTCCTTTTTTTAGTAGTGCAGTAGATTTTGAAGAGAGAAGAAACTACTATTCATTGAGGACTTAGAATGTTCCATTAATCCCCATATTAATTCCATGATATAGATATTATCCCTGATTTATAAAAGTTAGAGTCACAGAGTTTAGGAAACCCAAGACTACAGATTAATTAGTAGCAGAGCAAAAATTTTCTGAATCAAACCCTATCTTGTTTTCTTCCTGTGAGACTGATTTGTTGTTCTTATTGTTGAGTCTTGGAAAAACTCATGATTTAACTAAGATAAGCCGCTTAAATAACAGAAAATACTAGAGATGTGTGAATTGTACTTTTTACTCCTTTTTCTTAAGTAGGAGCTTGGCCTCTTCACGGTTGCTTTGCTTTGGCTACATCTGGGGACAGCACTGGATTGTTTTTGTTAGTGGTGACCAGGACAGTTGTGCAAGTGGTGTCCCTAGCCTGCATGATGGGGCCTCCAGGTTGTGCAGCTCGCCTAGGTGCAGGGTGTGCTGTGGGCCGAGGTGGCGCCCGGATGTGAGTAGGGTCTGTCTCTGCGTCCTCACGTTCTGCATGTCTGGATTTAATCACCCACAGCTGGGATGTGTCCAGGGAAAATGAGTCCATACTGAACATGCGTAGGCTTTCTCTTGTAACTTGTGTTCTGAAGCAGTATTCCCTAGTGAGTACTTACACAGCACCGACCTGGCGTGTGATGCAGAGAGAATTTAGAGTGGCTGGGAGGATGCGCACAGATGATGGATGTGCAGTACTGCCCCTCTCCACACAGTGGACTGGAGTGTCAGGCTGTGAGATCCGGAGAGCCTGGACCAGACCCTGGGAGATTCTGAACTCAGCTGTGCTTGAACAGATGGGTCAGCTGGGCTGTGAGGCAGGCCTGCAACCCGGCCCTCTGGGAGGCTGAGCTCAGCTGCACAACCTGGTGACCTACAAAGACAGTGTCAACAGAGTCACACAGCTGGTGATGGAGTAGCTCAGTGGCCCTGGGTTCAGCCCCCAGTACCAAAAACAAAACAAAAGAAAACCTAGAGTAGTTTTTTTAATCTTCCAGCTACAAAGGCACCCTTACTAAAATCAAACATTTTTGGTTTTTAGAGGGGTAAATTTTGTATTTTTGCTTGAGTATCCCCCCAAAAAACACTTGAAAAAACAGCTGGGTGTGATGGTGCACACCCGTAATCATCAGAACTTGGGAGGCTGAGGCAGGAGGATCCCCTTGAGTTGGGCTACATAGGAACAAACTGTATAACTACAAGGTCATTTTTCAGACGGATATCTAACATTTTTTTATAAAAACCTTTAATGGTTGAAGTTGTATCATATATTGACTTACTTAATAAAGATATTGAGCTGGGCATGGTGGCACACACTTGGAATCCCAGAACTCAGGAGGCTGAGGCAGGAGGATTGCTGAGAGTTTGAGGCCAGCCTGTGTTTGGGCCGCACAGTGAGTTCAAGGCCATCCTGAACTACACAGTGAGATCCTGTCTCAAAAAGCCAATATGATACAATACAATACAGCTATTATATTACTCACTTAAATGTATGCACAGCAACAGTATGTACCATCATTCTTTTTAAAAAGCCATGAACTTTTCTTTAACATTTGAAAGTTTGCGTTTTCCATTTCTCCTTGAAGTCCTGTATTGTTGAGCTAGAAGCTCTGTTCTGTACTTTCTGCCACAGTAATACAAAATTGAAGTTTTAAAATTTGTTTTGGTGCCTAGGGTCGCAAGTCTCTAAATATTACTGTTGTTTCTTTTGGATTAAGGTATCATTACAATTATTATATAGTTGGTCAAGTCATAAATTTTGGCATTATTTGCATGGAAAGTAAATTTTTACCAGAAGTGCATGTTTCAGTGAAGTGAATGACCCTCCCTTCCCCACTGGAGCTTTGTGTTTGGTTATGTACGGTTCATTATGAGAACATAATAGAGAGGGCCGGGGATTTAGCTCAGTGGTTCCACCACCTGCCTCGCAAGCTCAAGGGACCCGAGTTCAATCCCTGGTACCAAGAAAAAAAAAGAACGTAATAGAGAGGAGATAACTCCATTCCTAGTTTCCATTTTCGTACATATAAGTAATTAATGAGAAATTGTTCACATGAATAGATAAGGATGGTATTGGAAGGCTTATTAAAGTAATATGTTAACTTTTTTTAATCTAAGTTACATGTCAGAAATTGTTACTTGTTTTAGGAGTTGCTTTGTTTTTTGTGGGTGTTAACATTATCATTACTTTCATGTTGCGGTGCAGAATTTACGAATCCCTTCAGCCTATCTTACTTGCTCGTCACATGACCTCACACCTCAGCTTCCTTTTCTAAGTGAGGAAGCGGAAGTGCAGAGCGGTCCTTCTCTTCCAGAGACCCGGGACTCACCGGGAGGGAGGCCCGGCAGGCGAGCTCATGGACCGGAAACTGCTCGGCATGTTGTAGGTTCTTCATACCAGTGCCAGTGCAGTATCTTACCGTGTTCTTTCCCTGTATTCAAAAACTCAAGCTGGGATGTGGATCATTTACTTTATGGATGCTGTCTCCATGAAACCTAATTGGCAAGGCAGTTCTCAAGATATGTCGGAACATATACCACTAAGTACTAATAGGTTCATCTGCTGATGAATTTTTTTTTTCTTATTAAAGAAAAGTAGAAACTAGTTTATGAAATAAGAATGAGAATTCCATGTTATTTATATTATAATTTACAATATTTTAATTTAATATAATTTATAATGTAACTGATATATGGTACATTACAAATGTTTTATGGTAACATAGTTTGTAAAATACTTTATTGTACATCTTTATTGACTGAAAGACATCAAATAGAATTTATTTATAGTGCTTGGGATCGAACTAAGGGCCTTGCCAATGCTAGTGTCTTACCCAGTGTATCTTGAATAACCATGGTTGAATAACCACTTTGTTTTTACAAGAATGATTAGCATAACTAAATGCACTGGTCAGATTGTGGGAGTTATTTTTTTCTTCCCCTAATAACTTGATCTAGGGATGATGGTTAAGAATAGCTGAAAATAATGACTTTTAATTAAATATTCACAGAAACATTTAATGTTTGGTGATGAAGGCCAGGCATGATGGCACATACCTGTAATCCCACCCAGCACTCAGAAGGCTGAGGCAGGAGGATCGCCATGAGTTGGAGGCCAGCCTGGATTACATAGTGAGTTCAAGGCCAGCCTGAACTGCATAGCAAGACCCTGTCTTAAAAAAAAAAAAAAAATCAATGATGATAATAACTAACAGTTATGTAGTATTTAGTATGTGTCAGTACCATGTGTAAGCATCTGAAATACATTAACTCATTTAATTTTCACAACAACTGCTGGAGAGAGTGCTGATCCATCTTGCAGATGATGTCAGGGAAAACAGGTGATAAATCCCCCCAGGACATATGACTAGGGAGTGGTGTGACCTGGACTTGAACCCAGAGGCCTGTCTTTGTCCACATGGCCTTGTTGCTGCTCTGTTCACTTTCTCACAGAACCCTACAGTGGTTGAGGTCTGTATAAAGGCAGAATTATTAACTAAAAATTTATCATTACTCCTACCACCCACTTTTCATATTTCTGAATTAAGTTATTTCCAGTGAGAACCAGTCCTGTTTCTAACAGGTTTCACCTGTAACTGAAATATGTCTATCTATCAAGGTAGAAGAAGGTCTCTAGGTTTGGGGTTCCTTGCTGAGTTGTGGAAGGAAGGAAGGTGGTAAGGAGGGAGGAAGGAAGCAGTGAGCAAGCTTTCTTAGAGGTTTTCTACGCCTCAGGGCAGGCTGTCCTGTTGAGACTCGGTCCGGTCCGGTCCTGTGTCTCCTTTGTGAGTGAGATAAAGGCTCTTGGCAGCACAGGCTCTGGTTTAGGTGGCTAGGCTTTCGGGAAGTGGACACTTCCTTGAAAACCATTCTTTGGTGAGAACCCTCAAAAAGTGATCTGGCGTGTACAGTATTCTTAGACTGTAGCCTAGGAAAGGTAACAGTTGCTGAAAGTCTGTACTCTTAAATTAAAATTGAAAAACAAAAACAGCTAACTGCTGCAAGGGATCTGTTCCCACAGGGTCAGGTTGCCTTGTCCCAGTGCAGCTGTATCTAGGGAACAGTGAAGATCCCTTTATTAGCAGTCCCGTGGGCGTGGTCCCCTGGACCTCGCTGCAGGCGCTGTGGAGCAGGTGGTTTGAGGTGAATGTCCTTGTCCATGTGGCCCCGCCAGGAACTGGGCCTTGCACAGTGCTCTGTCACCAAGTTACCGCTGCTCCCGAGGCTGGGGAGTGTTGCCAGTGCTCCCTGCATTGTGTCAGATTCTGGGAGTGTCCCTGTTTTTGGTGTTTAGATACAAGGCATTACTGTACACACCAGGCTGGCTGTGAACTTGCTGAGAAACCCAGGCCTGTGCCACTACACCCAGCTTTGTGAAGTATTCCATGCCTGTTCTTATGCTAGACTCATCCCTTAGCGCCCCTGGGTAAGACAGTGAGTTTGGCGATAGATTTGCTATCTCTTCAGGGTGGCGGCAGGTGGGTGGGGTGGGTGGGTCCTCGTGCATTTGTGCAGAGGGCTCCAGGCTGGGCTCTAGGGAGGATGCCATCATCCCTCACAGGCTGGAGTGTCTCTCGTGTTAGCTTCTGGCTCTTAGCCAAGTCTGAGCAGCGGTGTTTCTGGAAGCTCTCAGCCGTCTGAGTTGTCTACGGTAGGTGACATGGCTGTCAGCACCTGGTGGCTGTGACTCCCCGTTTGTTGTAGTCCGTATGAGTTGCACACGCCTAAAGCAAGGTGCTTGAACATAGAATGATTATTATTCTAAAACTCTGACCATTCCTCTGTGGCTGAACGTATGCATCATATTCTCTGTTTTTACCGGGCTTACCCAAACGGCCCAGGTGAGCCAAGTTCTGAGCATAAAGTCACAGAGATTGGCTTGAATCTCGGCACTTTCATCTCAAGTGCCTCTTAAAAAAGATTGGACTTTGTTTTCAGGAGAGGAAAAGTTGGAAACGTTGGGGGACACTGCATTAGCGTAAGACTTGACAGCCATGGTGTAAAGCAGAATGGTCTACAGCAGACGACAGCGCTGTCCTCTGTTGCAGGCACGGCCTGGGCACGTTATGTAGTTGCTGTGTAGATGTTTAATCATTACATAACCATCTTATTTGCTCCTAGTAAAGCAGTGGATGAGTTTCTCATAATTGAAAGAAATGTATTTTTATTCAGCAAATCTGGATGAGAGGAAAATATTTGAGACAGCACTTTATTTTTAAATAAGTTCTTAAATTGAAGAAGAGTTCCCTACCGGAAAACCTTTTACTATTCATCTGTCTAATGGTGAACTTTATGTTTAACCTAAGGTTTAATATTAGTGAAATTTTCATTTTAACTTAAGCTTTTGTAAGAGGAACGTACCACTCTGATTTGGAAAGTATTAAGTTTATTTCTTGTAATGCCTGAACTTATTTGATATTGAATATTACTTTCTCAGATGAATTTGTGGTTACTGCTGCTTTCCCCGAGTTTTAGAATGTTTTCAGCAAAGTTAGCAGACTTTCCATAACTTTTTTGGTCATAATGGGAAAATCTTCATGCATCTACAGTTGGCTTTTGGCTTTTTAAAAAAATATTCACTGTAAGCGGAGAATAATGCCAATTACAGTTCTTCAATCCCCATGCTTTTCCGTTGTGGAAACTGAGTCACTGTCCTGGTGGCAGTGGAGGAAGGGAGGTCCCGGGTTTCCAGCTGCATTCTCTGTGCTGCACAGACTCAGCTCAAGAAAAAGGATCCCCACCCACCACAGTCCCAGTCCCCAGGAAGAGGGTACCTACCGTAGAGGCCTGAGGCCCAAACAGGTAAATGTGTATGGAGCTCAGAAAATGTTCAGGCCATCATTGCAGTTTCCTGAACATTACCAGTGTTAATCGTGGTACTGTTTTTTATGCTTAAAGCGATTAGTTCAGGGGCAGGTATTTAGCTCAGTGGTTCCACCGCCTGCCTCGCAAGCACAAGGTCCTGAGTTCGATCCCCGGTACCAAAAAAAAAAAAAGCGGTTCATATTAAAGCTGCTTTTACTAAACTGCTTTGCAGAGATTTTCTAACAATTCTTGTTTTTGTAATAAATTTGCTAATATTAATATGCATGCTGGAATACTCTTTGGAATGTCAGAGTTCTTCTCACTTTTAATGCAATGTCAAAGTTTGTTTCCCATCTTTCCTGCTGGTCTGACTCTTGTGTTTGTGCTTTCCACTTTACAGGCATGCAGTATGGTGACTGTGTTAATAACCAAGCTAGCTCCGCACCGACTCCCTTGTCATCAGCTTCCGATGATGAGGAAGAGGAGGAGGATGAGGAAGCAGGTCTGCTTTAGCTTTACACCAGTTTTTAATCTTTCTCCTACTCAAACTTTCTTTTATTCTGTAGTTTTAGCCTTTTCAAAAAGTATCTCAAGATTTCACATGATGAACATACTTGGTTTGGGTCACTGGAAATGAGCTTGCTTTGTTTTTCCTCCTCTGGATTTGTTCACCTTTTATAAGCAATGGGGTACGGCATTCGTGAGAGCGTACGGTGTTCTTCCTTCAGAAATGCACTTCCTTGTCCCACATCATGTGCCAAGAACTGAGCCCAGGCTGCAGCCCTGGGCCGTTGGCCGCTGTGGCTCCTCAAGGAGCAGCGCGTCTGCTCTGCACGCTCTGATGCTGATCAGACTGAGCCGTGGATTTTACAGTAGTGGCAGAGGACATGGACCGAGTTCTGCAGGATCTTCTTGGCTCTTCTCATGTTCTTGGAAGGCTCAGAACTTTCAATTTTCTTGTGCATGAGCAGCAATTCCTCTCAGGATAATTAAGCATGTTGTGTGTATGCTTATGAGTTGCATCTGGTTAGCATCATTTTCTGCCTCAATGGGTAGAACACTACTGAAAACTGTGTAGTTCAGTTCCTCCATTAATTCTAACAGTTTAAGACTGATCCAATAAATGTCAATATTTCAAGTTACTATTAGTAAGATTCTCCATCATTTTTATTATTGATGGGAGGATTTGCTCTACAATCTGTTTAGTAAGGTTTCTGTTTCCTGTGCGTTTAAAAATATTCCAGCTTTAATGCATGATTTGAGAGGGATGGAAGTAGAGGCTATCAGATAGCAAGTAGTTTTTCTTAAAATTTAGAAATCGGAAATTTTAAATAATTTTTTATTTTAACATAATTTCAAATTAAAAGTTGCAGGAAGATTGAAAGATGCTCCTGTATGTACCTTATGCAAAAAAACCATTTTTGTTTCACTTGCTCTACAACTTACTTCATGTGTTCTTCCCACATTGAGCATTGACGCCGTGGCATGTAATTCACAGCCCGCTCTGCAGTCTCAACACGGCCTCAGCTTGGTCTCTTACAGCTATTTTCGTGGCCCAGGGTCCATCCGTGGTCAGGTGTTGAATTCAGTTGTCGTGTCTGTTTAGGCTCCTTCAGTGTGGAACAATCCCTTAGCCTTTCTTTCTTGAGCTTGACATATTCAAAGAGCACAGGATGGTAAAATGTTGCAAAATGTTCCTCAATTTGAATTTATGTGATATTTCTTCATAATTGGATTCGGATCACATTCGCCTGATAGCATTTCTAAAGTAGTGTGTTCTCAGTGCTTCCGATTTCAAGCATATGTTAATTTCTTCCCATATTTGTGAGACTGATTTTTATCATTCAATTATGGTCGTGTCTGCCAAGTTTCTCCACTATAAAGTTACAACTTTTCCTCCGTTAAAATTACTAAGTAATTTGTGGGGAGTCTTTGAGACTACGTGAGTGTCCTCTTTATCAAACTGTTACCTGTCCATCTTGGCGTCCATTGATGGTTTTCCCTCGCACAGCCCTGTATTTTACGAGTAGGAGTTTCATAAAGTGGATTCATCGATCCTCCGGCCCTGGGTTTGGCTGGAGGTGGCATCTTCCAATTGGCCTGTTGTCTGTATAGAAGTTAGTCATGCTCCACATTCACCTCGGACTTGCTCTGTGCAGCCCTGGCTGAGCTTTCTCCGGGGACTCCTGGTTCCATTCGTGGAGAAGGGTATTTAGGGCTGGGGTCTAAGGCCAGTGTGTGTAAAACTTAGCCGAAAGCTGAGAAAAGACAATTCTGTAGATCAGTCAAGAGTTTCTTTTTTGTTTTTCTGTTTTCCTTTGTAGCACTGTTTGGGGATAGGGAAAGAGAAAAGCGAAAATGAAGACCATCTCCTGAGCCTCTTCTGCAACCGTCCAGCACACACCTGCTCTGCCTGCAGGCTTTGTAGTGGCCCTGCGGGGTGGGTTGAGGGGAGAGCTTGTTACCGAGCGGAGCCACTCGGAGATGGTAAATGCCCATTTCTCCTCTCAACCGCCGAGTGGTGGCCATGGAATTTGCCTGACCCTTTTTTCTGCGTTTTATGCAAGTTAGGAGAAGATGAGACCTTGGATCATCTGAAAAGTTGAGTAACATTAGCAAATATAGTAGTTTTCACTGAGCCACGTGGCTTGGCTTTTAGAGAAAGCGCAGCGAAGCCTTTCCTAGGGGCCTTTAGTGCTTTCTAGTACTTCTCCCCAGCTTTCAGAATTCTGAGCTAGTCTTGTGGTCTGTCCCTGTCCTCTTTCCCTCGTCTCCCTTCCTCAGATTTTTGCTCCTTTTTTGTCTCTGTCCAGTTTTCTTTTCTAAACCGTGACAGAGCCAGTTTAAAAAGGAGGAGAGGGCTGGGGATTTAGTTCAGTGGTTTTGCTGCCTGCTGTGCAAGAGCAAGGACCCGAGTTCGGTCCCCGGTACCAAAAAAACCAGAAAACAAAAAACAACAAAAAGGAGGAGAGAAGTCCCAAGTATGACTCACACGCTTGCCCCCCGTTTGGTCTCCTCATTCTTGTCCATCCAGAGGCTCAGGGACTGGAAAACTCAGAGCTGAGGGTTAAAATGAAAACTAAACTGGCTTGCACACTGAAAGCAGTGCAGATTGAGAGCTCTCAAATCCAAAAGCCTCAAATCCGAGAAACATTTCCAGCACCAGCACTCCGTACCCAAAAAAAAAAAAAAACGACTTCACTTGAGCCTCGTAATGCTGTCAAATCCAGGTGCATGAGAGAGCTGGTGAGGTGACCTCAGGCTGTGGGAAGGGGTGTTCGAAACATGGTGAGTCTGTGCCTAGTCTCGGGTCTCATCCTCAAGATAACACGTGTGTGTACAGATTTCAAAATAAAAAATCCAATCTGAAATTCTCCTGGTTCCAGGCCTTTGGACAAGGAATACTCAGCCTGATTTTGGTTAGTATCAGTTCCAGAGGCAATATGGGAGCACAGCTGCTGGCCTCCAAATATGTGTGGCAGGGCCGCAGATGCCATATGTGATTGCAGCAAACTGGAGAAGTACAAGACCAGCGCCGCGTCCTAGGGACAGAAAGGGTTTCCATAGCACATGGGAAAGGCTTGGGATTTGAGGGATGAGTAGGAATAGGCCAGGTGGAGAAAGGAAATCTAGGCAAACAGACCCCACTAGCCACATGTGACAGGCTGTGAATGTGGACCTTTGGAGCTTTTGGTGGTAATGCAGCACCCGTGCTGTGTGCTCACCACCGCTGCACTACTGTGTCAGGTGTGGCCACCCTGAGGTGGAGGAGTGTGAGAAAAGCAGGCGAAAATGAATGTAAGCCGAAATTCAAAGCTCCTTCTGTGAGCATGTGAGGGCATTCAGAGCTTAATCTAGGATGCTGAGGGACTGGTGAAAGCGTTCTCAAGCATTCCCGAATGTGAATGCACAAATTTTGTAGTGTGTTCTGTGTGTGTGTGTGTGTGTGTGTGTATTTCAGTACAATTCCGGTTGGTGTTGCCAGTGGTGGCATGACCTAACTATAGAGTATTGATCTAAACAATAAAATTTAGCAAAGTTAAACTGTTTACTTAATCTAGGTTAGTGGTTAGTGGTTTACCTGAGTTTATAACTGCTGTATTCTCTTTTGTTGTTTTTGACAGGTTTAGTATAGACCTTTGCTCTTAGTCTTTTCTTCTGAAAGTGAATTTTAAAATAAATGCGCAGATTTTAAATCATTGAATAAATAAAATAGAATAAAAGTTTATAGCTATGCTATTACTAAAATGGGCTATATTTTCAGTATCTACATTCAATTTGACATGAAAGAAGTTAGGCAGCTTAATTAGGGTGATCTTTGACATAATTTGATATGTTTAATCATTTGTCTTTGGACTTCATTCTTTTTCAAGAATGATTATTTCTCAGTGCTCACATCTTGAACTTTCTCTGGGTGGTAGTGGTGGCCCACACATGCAGTCTGGCACTCTTGAGACACTGAGGCAGGAGGCTTGCAAGTTTGAGCCCACAGTGAGACCTGGTCTCAAAATAAAAAGGGCTGGGGATGCAGCTCAGTGTGGAAGCCTTGGGTTCAATCCCCAGTACTGGAGAACAAGTTTTTCTGGGTGAGAGAGTGTTTCTCTGAGGATTTCTTTGAGATATAATTCGTGTACCCTAAAGTTCAGCTGCTTACACCGTTGAGCATTGTCCAGTATTTTCAGAGTTCATCAGCCTTGCCACCAGGTGGTTTCAGAACGTTTCATCACCAGAACAGAGACCCCGCGTTTCACAGTGGCTGTGGCCCCCACATGCATGCTTAGTCCCCCCTGGCCTGCAATCTCTGCTTCCGACCCAGCGCTGTGGACGCGGTCTCCCCTGAGGTCTGTACCGCAGCCCTGAGAGCTCCCTTTGTGCTGGGTCTCCTCCGTGTGCTCCCAGGGTTCATCGGGCTGTGGCATGGATCGGTATTGCATTCCTTTTGGTGCTAAGATTCTGTATTCACAGCACCTTTTACTCATCTGCCTGAGTTGCTTCCACCCCCTGGGTGTGGGCGGGCGCTCATGTTCCTCCCACGTGAGGGGACTCTGGAAACTCCTGCTAATCTTTGGAGACACTGTCCACTTCGCAGGTCCGAGGGGCTCCAGCTTCTTTACCTCCAAGCCAGCACTTGCCGCTCCCTGGCTTTGTGGCTATGACGATGTGGAGTGGTGTCTTGTTACTGTGTCTATTTTCCTTTCCCTAGTGGCTGCTGCTTTGGGGCATCTTTTTATTCACTTGTTGCCTTTTTGCTTATCTTCTATTTTTGTTGTTGTTTTGTTTTGAGGCAGAGTCTTTCTAAGTCACTAAGATGCCCAGGCTATGCTCAACTTTATGATCCTCCTGTCTCAGCCTCCCAGAGTGTGGGCCTATACCATCAGTCCATTGTTTAACTTCTTTGGAGAACTATCTTTGCCCACTTTCAATTTCTTTTGTCTTTTCATTACTGAGTTTTATTATTACAAGAGTTCTTTATATATTGTGGATACTACACCCTTGTTAGATACATGATTTATAAATATTTCTTTTTTGGGGGGGGTGATACTGGGGATGGAACTCCAATCCTTGTGCTTGTGCAGCAGGTGGCAAAACCACTGAGCTAAATCCCCGGCCCTATAAATATTTCTTTCCATCCTCTGGTTTGTATCTTTTTCTAGGTGGTGGCCTTTAGACCACAAACATGTTCAGTTTTGTTGAAGTCCATTTTGTCTGTTTTTTTCTTTCGTTGCTTCTTTCTTTGATGCCATATTTAAGCATTTGTTGTCTAACCCGAGGCCATGAAGTGGCACACGCTCTGTGTTCTGAGTTTATGGTCCTGGCACTTACACTTAAGGCTGTGCTTCATCTTAGTTAACTCTGTAGTGGGGAAGGGGTCCAGCTTCCTCTCTCCTGTGGGCAGGCCTAGTGTTCCAGCACCTGTTGTTAAAAAGCATATTCTTCCCCACTGAAAAGTCTTGCTAAACTGTTTGGCTTTATGGAGGTAAAATTTGAGTAACACAAAATGAACCATTTAAGCATACAGCTCAGTGCCATTTAGCACTGTGCAGTGTTGTGCCCCTGCCTCTTCGAGTTGTCTCACTGTGAATTCACTAACCTGGATTAGCCAGATGAACTAGACGCAGCTGAACCCGTTCACCACCCCAGAGAAGGTGCTGTGGCCATAGGCATCCTTTCCCAGGTCCCTCGCGCGGGCGCCCCGTCCAGCCGACTCTGCCTTCGCCTTCCTGCTCTGTCATTCCCGTGCTGCCCGGGCAGGTGTTTCCTCATTCCCTGTGGGTGGGAGCTCTCGGGCTTTCATGTGCACTTTCCTGTACTCTCCCAGCTGGACTCTCTGGCCTTCCGTGTAGGCATGCTGCGGTAGTTACAGATCCTCAGACATAGGGTAGGAAGGGGCAGCCACTGCCTCCCGTTCTCCAGTAAGAGGAACAGCATGCATTTGCAGTGATTTCCTACTTATCATGAAAAGGCACTTAGTAAAGGTTAGCATCTTCCACCTATTACTTATTTTATAGCCTTCATACGTTATAAGTGGTGTCACCCACTGTCTCATTTAAGCCCCAGGAGAACATTAAAAAGAAGACATAGGACGTTTTTAAAGCTTGTTCTCATTTTGTAGAAGACAGTATTGATGATTGGCGCCTCCCCACAGTTACATAGCAAATGAATGCTGGAATCTGGGGTACCTGCTGTAGTCTTTTGCCTTCAAATCATGTTATTTGTTGGAGAAGGAAATGTTCATAACTTGAGTTATTATGTCCATAGTGTACCTGATTATCATGCTTCTCCATGGTTACTCAGTGAATGAGAACTCTGCAAATCTCTGTGTACCACAGTTCAACACAACCATAAAGTGTTATTTAAACCTTAGTTGTAATGCTGGTGTTAGAAGCCGGGGTGAACTCTACCATGGGTTTTTATCGCTGTAAAACAGTCTTTGTCTTTTCAACCCTAATATTTCTAACATATGGGAGGAGCCATGTATATTTTCTGTTTTATATATCAGTATATGCTTTAGCATGTCTACCCTAGGACAATCGTAGATTCCAAAGAAAACATTTGTTGAGTGAATGAATGAATGAATGACAGAAACACTTACATGTTCTGTCCTTGTGACCTATTGCTAGATTTCCTCATACATCAAATTTTCTCCTAACCATAATAGCTTAGAATGAACACAAATAATAAAAAGTTGTAGAGCCTAATATAGTTACTGGAGTGGCTTTCATTCCTGTTGCCTTATTGGATACGGCAGGGTTACTCACCACCCAGGCTGCGGCCGAGTGAGCTGAGCCGCAAGAGCCTTCCAATACTCTAGGAAGCAGCCGCGGCGTAGGCTCCTCTTTTGTGGATTTTTCAGAGGCTGTGATATTTTATAAAAACCATTAAAACTTAATTACCTTAAAATATTGTAACACCAGTGGTCTGGCATACAGCCCTAATACCAGCACTCTGGAAGGCTGAGACAGGAGGGCTGCAACCCACCCTAGCAACTTAACAACTTAGCGAGACCCAGTCTCAAAAGAAAAAGGATTGAGGTGTAGTTCACTGAGAGGCCCTGAGTCCAAGCTGCAGTACCGCAGGAAGACCGGCAAATGAATGTGTTGAGTGGCTTGAGATGTGGTAGGTGTCCTCTTTCAGGTGCGACCATACTAGCACTTCCGTCAGCCTGAAATGCATATTTGTGTGTTTGATACCGTTGGGAGCTTAATGTCTGTTCTCTAACCTACATATGTTAGACTGAACTTCATTCCACTCATCAGCTTCATGCTCATTCTTCTAACTTTTCTTTTCTTATTAACAGATTCTTTTGTGTTTTTAAAAATATTCTTAAGCATCAGTCATTTCACTTTCTTACTGGTGTTAGGAATTTTTCTAGTTCAGCAAAAACACCTGTTTCAAAATTTAAAAAAAAAAAAATGCCAGTGGCTGCCCCAAGATCCACTGTCCTTTTGACCTTGCGGGTGTTCGGTTTCCTTGCAGGTGTGGACAGCTCTTCCACCACAAGCAGTGCTTCCCCGGTGCCCAACAGCTATGATGCCCTGGAAGGGGGCGGCTACCCAGGTGAGTGTCCTTTGGCACTTTCATATGTTCCTTCTAAAAGCTATTGGCCATCAGTTGTTAGCAAACATAAACATGTACCACCCATTTTCAGCAGGTGGTCTCTAGCAGAAAAGGGGACATTTTCCTGGCATTTCTAGTGTTCATTGTCAGCCATAAATATTGTTCTGGGTTGGACTGGGGATTTAGCTCAGTGGTTTCACTGCCTGCTGCGCAAGCGCAAGGACCCGAGTTCAATCCCTGGTACAAAAAAATATATATATATATTGTTCTGGGTAGCCCGAGGCAATTTATTATTTTATTTTTGTTATTCTTTAGTGTTTTCCTCTTTTTTTAAAAAAAATTTAATAGTGAATAATTTTTTTTTCATCTTTTTTAGAAAATAATGTCTTAAATAAATGTTGTAGTTGTGTGCTTATGCTTCGGCCCTTGAATTCTGGACTCCTTGCAGCCCGCCCCAGAGCGTGACAGCCTGGCTCTTTATAGCCTCGCGGCCCTGGCTGCCTGTGCTAGCTAGGTAAAAGGCCTAGCTGCTGGGGTAGGCTTTGGAGGCATCCCTGTAACCTTTAATGTCCAGAAGCAACTTGCCGTTAATCAGAGTGCAGGAGTAGTGGATAGTATCCAAAGAAAAAATAAATTAACTTTTAGAATCGGTAGTCATCGTACTGTACTGTGATTTTCCTTATTCTCCTGTCTTATCACTGATAGACAGGCACCTGCCCACCCCCCTCCCCCGGCGCCTGTTTCTCAAAAGATTTGACATTGACCAGCAGAGCCATCATGCCCTACACTGATAGCCGTAGCCCAGGAGGAGGTCTGGCCCGTTGTGTGTGCTGTGCGCGTCCTACTGTAATCCCAGCAATCCAGGAAGCTGAGGCAGGAGGAGTATTCAAAGTTTGAGCCCAGCCTGGATAGCAAGACCCTGTCTCCAAATAAAAATTAAAAAAAAAAAAAAAATTAAGCCCCAAGGGCTGTAGTTCAGTGTCAGTGTCCTGGGTTCAGTCACTACCTAGTACCATAGATGATTCAGACAGATCAGTGAGATTTTTAAAGAACTGAAATGAAACGGAGCACGCTCATTAAGTGAACTTTCTGTGGAGGCTCTTCTGTCCCGCAGCTGCTCTGGGAGCTGGTCACTCTCGAGGGACCGAACACACGTGTGGCTCTCGGGCGTTGGGGGACACACAGCTGCTTCTGTGGGCAGGGACATAGGCGGCAGGGTCAGGTGAAGGTGAGTTAGAGAAGAGAGTTGATGGTATTCTTACTTTTTTTTTTTTGAGATGGTCTCACTGTGTAGTGCAGGCTGGTTTTGAACTTACTGTGTAGTGCAGGCTGGCCTCAAACTTGCAGTGACCCTCCAGCCTCAGCTTCCCGAGTGCTGGGATTACACACCTGCGCCACCACACCCAGCCTCTTCTTATAGTGTTGTTTTGTTTTCCATTTCTTGGCTCCAGGCCTTCTTAGAGAATTTGAAGAAACAAACACCAGTCCATTAGCTGTGTCTGTGTCTGCCTGTGCTGCGTTAGGAGTGCCAGCTGAAGGACTTGTTGATGAGTGACACAAAGTGTAGGGCAGAGCAGGATGTGAAACAGGATTAGCACAGTGTGGAGCGTTGCTGAGCTGGGTGCTGGGCACAGGTGCTTATCCTCCCCGCCCTCCCGCGCTCAGACAGCGTCCAGTCCCGAGCCCCCTTTCTGGCTAACACCTGGCTCTCCTGCCCTAGATGTGCATTCTTCCTCGGCCAGCAGCCCTGCGCCGGACCATGCGCCCGAGCCAGACCCTGCGCCCGCCGCCCCTCTGTCTGCGAAGGTGATGGCCAAGCCCTTCGGCCACGGCTACCCCACGCTGCAGCCTGGCTACCAGACCACCGCCGCGCCACCCAGTGCGGGCACCTTCGCGCAGTACCCACAGGTGCGTCCTCGGCCTCCCCCGTTCTCACAGGCCTCCAGACATTTGTAAAGGTTAAATCCACATGGAGATACTAGCTGTTGTTTTATTTTCTTCATTGTAGGTTTAGTTTTCAGTCTACAATCCACAGATACTAATTTTATAGCCAGAAAAATTAATATCTTTAAAAAATTCTCTATTACTAAGCCCGCTTTTCCCCCAGACCACACCTTGTGCAGTGCGGTGCAGGCTTGGGCCCCTCCGCTGAAGGCCTCTTGCAGGGACCTGGCCAGTACTCAGGCGGACAGCAGAGCAGCAGGCGCTTCTGCCTGCATCCCGTGGGCAAGACAGGAAACGGTGATTTCTGCCGTGACCTACTCTCAGACCGGCCTAGTGAAAATTTCATCTGATGGTAAACTAAAGCACAAGTCAGAGAAACAGGGAAATTGTTTCTGGAATCTAATCTTAGGGTTAAGGTGCAGAAGGGAAAAGGAAAAGAAAACTAGCAAAGGCATTGCAGAACTAGGTTGATGTGGTGCAGACTTGCCTGCCTCACATTTTGTTGCATTCTCTTTCTGGCTGCCTTGGCCCATATGAAACACTGTGCTTCAGTGTCGTCTCTCTGTGCTTCAGGCAATTCCTTTTTGGGACCATAATACAGAATTTGTTTCTGTGTCTTAGCGACAGGAAAACCTAGTGCAAGGAAAAGACTGATTCTTAGAAGTGCGGGGCTAGGAGAGAAAGGATTGAAGTAGAGGTGCTCCTTCAGACGCAGCACAGGAGCCAGCAGACTGGCCCTCAGGGGTCCTGACTCCCGTCCAGCACCAGCACTCAGGCCACTCCCCACGCTGCTGCGTGCTGCTGCTGCAGGCTCCGCAGGAGACCCGGCTGCTTGCTGCCCAAGGCTGCTTTCCGCTCACGTTTTATAGGTTACAAGGTTGGCTTTGCAATTAAAGTAAAATTAACACATGGCATTTTAAAAACGTAACCTCTTTCTGTTTTATGACCACAGTTCTTTCTCTGCTGTAGGTATAGTACAAGGGTCAGAAGAGTTTGGAGAAAGGAGACAGAGGCAAAAGCTGAACAGTAATACGGATTATGCCGCTATCTCAGAATGTGGGCCGGGGTGTAGCTGAGTGCACACATAAGGCCCTGAGCTCTGTCCCCAGTGCTGCCAGCCAAATCCAAAACAGTCTGTCTTCCCTTAGCTTTAAACAGCCCTATTTCTGTTGGGTGGAAGTGAAGTCTTCAGGGTTCGATTATACTCAGGCTTATTACTGAAGCAGTTAATTTCATATAAATCTGAGCTCACACTCACAAAATTAAAGAATGAAATTGAGGCCAAAAGGAATGGGGGTTAGAAGAGTGTTTATTGGAAAGTAAGAAAAATAGCTCTTGGTGGATTCCGCCTACGAGGGGGTTCCACAAGTGGAATTGCTGTCTTTGTTTTGCTCTTACGTACATAAACAGTACAGGAAAAGTCAGACACTCTGCTCCTTTCACATAAGAGTTTGAAGGAAACCAGTTACTTTGCATTTGTAACGTTCCTAGAAGTCCAGGCCAGGGGTGAGGAGGGACTGTGACTAATTGAGTGCACTCTGCATAAGAGCCTTCTTCCTGGAAGATGTGCAAGGGTCTTTATCTCCCCACTCTTTTTTTTTTTTTGGTACTGAAGATCGAACTCGGGACTTTGCTCTTGCGAGGCAGGCGGCGGAACCACTGAGCTAAATCCCCGGCCCTTATCTCTCCATTCTTCACCTTTTTATCTTTTCTCCTGTGCTGACTACCCATTTATAAGTTAACCAACTAAACTGTCTATGGAACTCTTTTACATTATGTCTTGATTTTCTTAGGCCAGAATATGGCATATTCCCTTGATATGTGCCTCATAATGATACTGAGTTGTGCCCCATGTAGTAGTGCTAGGATTACTGATCATAAAACTCGGTGTTTTGTACTTCATGGTGGCATATGTATACAGACAAAAAGAACTACAAGAATAATACCGTTTAATAATCTTACATTTGTAGTAATAAGGATGCTGTTATTTTGGAACTACTTAAGTGTGTTATAGGATAAGACAAGTACTGTATAGTTGACTCTATCTGTAAGGTCTGAATCACGGATTCAACCAACCAGGGATTGAAGATACTTGAGGAGTAAAAAATGGCATCTATACTGAACACCTATAGACATTTGTCATTATTTCCTAGGTGGTATAATAACTATATGGCATTTCCATAGCGTTAGGTATTCGCAGTAATCTAGGGTTGAATTAAAGCATATATGAGGATGTGCGTAGGTTACATACAAACAATACGCCTTTGTGTATAAGGGATTGGAGCATCTGCAGAGTTTCGTATCCTTGGGGTACCAAGAACTGACCCCCATGAATACTGAGCGTGGACAACTGTCAGGCTCTTGCCATTAGGTATGAAGCTTTTCAGCAAGAGGATAGAGATAACGGGCATAAAAATTCGAGAATTATTTTATCAAAGTAGTAGAAGCATTATCTTAAATTTGAATTGGAAATATTGATATGAACTCACTTTTTCATGCTATTTAAAACTGTATGTTTTCTATCTGTACCTATTGCAAAAGCCTGGACGTGTAGTACCAGCTCTCCAAGGGCGAACACCCCGATCATGCAGATGGTTCCCAGGCAGCGTCTGTGCTAGAGGAGCAGGACCCCTTGTAGACCAATGCCTAGCACCTTCTCAGTTACCGTCCTGGCGCAGAGGAGAACAGGAAGTTACACCAGAAAGCAAGGACCTAAGCAGGCTAATAAAATCAAGTCCCTGTGAGAAGGTCGCCACCGTCAGGTGGGCGTGTAGTCGAGCCCTGGCCAGCAGCGCACTCATCCCCAGTGCTGCAAAAGAAAACAGCAAGAACAGAAAGAGAAAAACAATGGGGCAGCAGGGTTCACCCTGGCCAGGCCTGAGTGGTGTGAGCACCGAGTACACAATGACAGTGATTGGGTCAGTTCGAGTTAACAAAAACCCACGGATACTAACAACACAGGGACAAAACAGAGGCGAAGCAAAGTTCGGTGAGCGTCCTTGTGCGTTTCTGGGGCATCAGCTCGTTATTATGAAAGTTAGTGATGGGTTAAACTTGGGAACAAGCATTTATCCTGCCTTTCCGCATATGCTATGCAAGGGAGCCACATTTGATATTGAACAGCATTGCTGCTGAAATTTTGTTGCAAGGTTTAAACTTGGTGCTAGGATTTAAATCTTCTCAGTATCTTTGCTTTGAGCTTTTTGAGTATGCTTTAAATCAGTTGCACTTTTAGATCGCTGTGCTGTTGCCACACTGGTTTTAAATTGTGTAACCTTCTTGGTCTCCCCTTGCGGCAGTTCCGCCTGTGGTGTAAGCAGATCAGCGCGAGTTGGTGCTGTGCTTTTGTCTTACTGCCCTGCGTCACTCTCACAGCAGCACCCGGGTGTGAACCAGCTGTCGTCTGCACTGGGAGGACTGAGTCTTCAGAGCTCCCCACAGCCCGAAAGCCTGCGGCCCATCAACCTCACACAGGAGAGGGATGTCCTGCCCGCCACTCCTGTCTGGGCTCCTGTACCTAACCTGAACTTGGACCTCAGAAAGCTCAACTGCAGCCCAGAGTAGGTATTTGTGTATTTCATCATCTTGAAAGTAACCTACTTTGATGAAAATATTGTATATTAATGACTTTTAAAGATGGTAAACACAGTATAGTATCATTTCCCTGATGGGGCATTTTGTTCACGTGGACTTTTCCATTCGGGTTTGTTTGTGTAGAAGTAGACATAAAATTCAGTTTCAGTTGTCTGTTCCTCGTCCCACCTTTATGTCAGTCCTGTCACCTGGTGGTAATGAAGAGTCCAGACATAAGAGCTGGAGAAACTGATGCTCTTGCCATGGCTCTGACTAGCAGCTGTGAGACCATGCTGTCTGCTTACCCTCAGAAGTCTCGGTACTGTCAGCCGTAACACACAAATATGTGTGAGTGTCCTTCACTCCAGATGGTGGGCACTGTGATTGTTTCAGATCTTGGAGTTTATGATTTGGAATATTTGCATAGTCTTTACTGGCTGAGATCCCTAAACTGAAATGCTCCAAAATCTGGAACTTTTTGAGCATCATGTCTGCCCAGAAAGTATTGGATTTTGGAGCAAGATTTTGTACTTTTGGATTAGGGGATGTTTGAACGCGTAGTAGTGAGGTCTACGTACAGGGTATTAGTAGGGAAGATGTACTGTGGCCCCACGCTAGTAGGTCTGATACAGCGTCAGCATTCCCACTAACAGCACGTCGGCGTAGGGAGTGAGGGTGGAGGCGCCTGCTGCTTTCCCCCAGCTGCTCTGGAATGGATTCTTCCTGTGCAGCCTTCCCAAGATGTAAACTCTCGCTCAGTGAGAGACGCTGCTGGGGGGAGCCGGTGACCTCTCGTCTCCGGGGAGAAGGCAGGCAAGGTACACAGAGGATCCGGCGAGTCAGATGAGCTGAAGTGTGGGTCAGAGCAGAGGAAGAAGGCGGACGTCCTTTGATGGATTGAGAGGGAGGTTGAGTCGCGCGCCGGCAGGTGGACGGCAGGAAGCAGGAAAAGGACCATAAGGACAGAAGCCTGCCTTGGGTGGAGGTGTGGCTCAGTGGTGGATGCTGGCCCAGCACCAGCAAGGCTCGGGATTTGATCCACAGACCACCAGAAAATCAGAGTGAGGGAGGTGGGCAGTGTGCTCTGGACATGCGTCCCTGCCTGTTCTTGACCTGCGGCAGTCCTGCCAGTCGTTGTCTCCCAGTGTGTTGTCCTTCCCTCCGTGAAAAGGCTTATTCCTTGGCTCAGGCCTTTCTCCATCTGTTACCTTTAGGCCTGTTTAGAGTAATCAGGCCTTCTGTGTAGACACAGCAGGCCCAGGTGGCTCACGTGCTCCACAAACACTGTCCTGCCGCTGGGGGGTATTTTCCTGACAGCTGACATTCCCAGCGTTGCTTGCTTCTTGCAGTTCCTTCCGGTGTACTCTGACCAGTATCCCACAGACACAGGCGCTGCTGAATAAAGCCAAGCTTCCCTTGGGCCTGCTGTTACATCCCTTCAGAGACCTGACGGTAAGGGACATTTTAAATACTGGGGTACTACAATCCTTATGTCAGAGGACGTAGATCTTGTATTTTCTTAGATTTTCGTCTTTTATTTGGAGTTAGAAATAATCATTCCTGCCCCATTTGAGCCAACATTTTCTGATCAGCTGCTTTGGGGCAGGCCCTCTAGTAAGTGCTGTTGACACAGAGGTGTTCTGAACATTTTCTGTAGTCTGAGCTCCATGGAGAGAGGTGGGAACCGCCGTGGAAGATGGGACACGTCAGAAGACCTTCCTTAGGCAGTGCTGACCAGCTAGGGAGTAGAGCGGAGAGAGTGTTCTGTAGAACAGACCCCTGAGTGTGGCAGGAAACCCAGGCACTCAGTTCTGCTCAGTTAAAACATTGCCCTCTGTTTGCTTAATACAGAGCCCAGGGGATTGTTACACACTTCCAGCGTTGCTTGGAGATACATTGTATTTAAATTTAAGTTTTTAAAGCTAAGAAAAATATTCGAGCTAGAAACATTTTGTTTATACTTCTTAGGGTGCACTTCTTCCTCTGTTAGCCTTTTGTATTTTCTAAGCTGCAGAGAAAATTCCTTTCCCACACTGAAGCCTGGAGGTGTGTGTTTTGAAGTCACACTGGGGTGTGTGGGGTTGACACCCGACCATTTGTCAGGTTGGTGCCCTGACCAGTCGCCTGATGAGGGGACAGCAGGGGTTAAAGAGCAACGCACAGAGGACCAGGAATAAAGACTAAAGAACAGATGATAGTTGTTAATTGGGGGAGTTTATCTTTAGCTGCCTGCTGGCTGAAGACCACCTCATTGTAGCTGTGTCCTGTCTTAGACCATGAGCTCTGGATTAGCCGGTATTTGTGGTTCTGCAATACTGCAAGGGGGTGTGGAGGCAGATGCAAGGAGTAGCAGAACTAATGCACTAAGAAGCCAGGCTTGGAGATGGGAGTAACTGTCCATACTGGTGCAGGTCCACGGGTAACAGGGCACCTGTGCTATGCTGCAGGTCATGGCTAACAAGCCACCTGCATTGTCTTGCTAGCATTTGATCCTCAGCTGTAGTGTTTCCTTGCTAGGGAGAGGCGTCACCACCTCATTGATCGTTGAGACGTTGGCACAGGGAAGTCTGGCTCCAAATGCCAGCCGAAAGGTCAATTAGCAATTCATTCTCAGGCCTGGGAGTGACTCCTAGTCTTAATCAGTAGCCAGGCTCATAAGCCAAATCAGTAACATCTGCTCAGTGCAGGTTCAGCTGGTCTTCTGCAGAGTTGGCTACTTCTGGCCGCCGCCTCAGCAGGGACATTGTCACCACCCGCAGTCAGTCCACAGAGACAGGCGTGTGTGTGCACATGTATGTACTGTGGTCAGGTTCATCCACGCTCCACCACTGAGCTACATCCACATCCCCAGTCATTTTCTGGGACAGTCTTGCCAAATTGCTCTGGCTGACCAGAGCTTGCAGTGCCCCTGCCCTAGCCTCCCTCAGTGCTGGGGTCACAGGTGGGCTCCCCCACGCCCTGCTGTAGGGGCGCCCTTGCCCAGTGTGTCCTTCTTTCTCTTCGTTAACTGCGTGAGTCTCCCTGACAAGCTCGCTCTTTGCTGTATTATTCTCTTGGCCAGTCAGGCTTTCTTGTCAGGTAGACTTGTTCGATGCAGTGTGACTGCCTTGGTGTCACCTTGGTTTGTGACAAGAAGGCGAGAGAGCTGACAGGCGCCCAGCACGTCACCGGGCTTGCTCACTGGCCTCTGTGGAAGCAGAGGACGCCTAGCGCTGTGGCAGCGTCTTTCCTTTTCTCCCCCAGCAATTACCAGTGATAACGTCGAACACCATCGTGCGGTGCCGATCCTGCCGGACATACATCAACCCTTTCGTGTCCTTCATCGATCAGCGTAGGTGGAAGTGCAACCTGTGCTACAGAGTCAACGACGGTGAGTGTGCTGCGCAGTGGGGCGTTGGGATGCTGTCCCCTGGTGTCCTGGCTGCTGTAGGAGCAGCTTGCTCAGCACCCGAGGGGAGGTGCAGGCTGGGCTCCCGCCCCTCGGCTGCCAGGCTGCTGCCAGGTCAGCTGACGGGAGGAGGGCGTTGCTGAGGGCCAAGGCACATGCAGACCTGTGTGTGTCCGTGTGGCCCTGTGTTCCCCTCTTATATCCACCTGTCTTAATGACTTTCAAATTTGCGTTTCTCAGATTGTTTTTTGTGAAATGTGATACAATAAGTAGGACACAGGTCCAAGAAGGGAGGTTACTGTGTCCTGGTTTCCTCACATGATTTCAAAAAATTAGTTATTTTTAATCCTTTGGATCTGTTTCTTAAGAAGGCCAAAGGGTTTTGTTTTTGTCATTAAATGTTTCCAGGCCAGAGGTGGTGGCACACGCCTACAATCCCAGTACTTGGAAGGCTGAAGCAGGATGATTGCTGAGAGTTTGAGGCCAGCCTGGGCTACATAGTGAGTTCAAGGCCAGCCTGAACTACAAAGTCAGACCTTATCTCAACAAAGACAAAAACAAACAGTTCCCAGAACTGTTGGTAAGCATAATACTGATGATGAAGGTGTTTCCTTCTGGGCTTGTTGCTAAATCTGCTCTGATTCCTGCTCTTGTCTAGTTCCTGAAGAGTTCATGTACAACCCCCTTACACGGTCTTATGGAGAACCTCATAAACGACCTGAAGTTCAGAATTCAACCGTGGAGTTCATCGCGTCCTCCGATTACATGGTAACAGTCGGTGTTGAAATAGTCCTGGGGTACATTTGTGCGGGTTGTCCAGATTCTGAAGTTGTCATAGTATTAATTTATAAAGTAAATTAATGGTGAAAGTTAATAGTTAACAAATACAATGTTATTTGATCCCCTAGAAAAGCGTATTCTATCACTAAGAAATGTTAGTACTGGAATATTTTATCATGAGCACCAGCAACTATTGTTTGTTGCCACTTGGATTTGACTGCCTGGCTGGAGTGAAAACATATTCTTTTATCATCTAAGACTTGAGGCACTGCAAAGAGAAAAATGCGTATTTTTGCCCCAAACTGCAGTGTGCAAGGCCTTAAAGGTCTCCCTGTCTTTGGGATTCGCCCCGTACAGATACCAGGATCAGTGGATATTTGATCTCTCTCTTGCTGGTCCACTCCTGAAGTTCTGCGTGTTCCTTAATTACTGCTCCTGATGCCATGCTTCTTTCTGTTCACAGAAGTGAGATGTCACTGACCTGTGGCGTAATTACTATCCGTGCATCTTCCCATTTTCAGTGACTGCATTTCTTCTACGTCCTTACTGCTAATCCTTGCTGTTTGCTGCTGGTGGCAAAGGGGGTCGGGCAGCTGACCTGCAGGGAATGTCCAGTGCTTGCCCTGTCTCTACTTTTATCATTTCTCTGGTCTTTATTTCTAATTTAGTTTTGCAACCTAGCTGTAATTTTCACATGTAGCTCCTTACTGACTGTAGTAAACCTTCTTTTGGCCTCTTTTGCTTTTAACTTCTTACCATCTTCAGGACTTATTTGGGTCTCGGCTCTGCTTGGGGTCCTTAAGAATCTTAATCTAACTGCAGTGACAGTGTAAGAAATAATCTTTCATTTTTGTTACATGATTCATATGACCTTTGTTGGCATGCATTTATTTAGTTATTTATTTTTCAGCACTGGATATTAACCCCAGGGCCTTCATACTGAGCTACATTCCCAGCCCTTTTTTATGTTTTATTTTAAAACACAGTCTCACTTGGTGGCTAAGGCAGGGCTGGAACATGTGGTTCTCCTGTCTCAGCCTCCCACAATACCAGTATTATAGGCATGTGCAACCATGCCCTGCCTGGTTGACATTTTAAAAACACACACAAAAAAACAAAACTTCATGGGGTGAGGGTGGAGCTCGGTGGTAAGGCCCTTAACTAGCATGGGTGAAGCCCGGCCTTGGATCCCCAGCACTATAAAAATAATAATATGCTAACATTTTTAAATTTAGATGTTTCTAGGAATAAGGAAAGTATATATAAATCTATAGTCAGGTTAATATTAAATAATAAACAAGCCGTATTTTTCTTTAGAAGATAAAAATGTTCCTTACCTGGAAAACATTTAACCAAACTACTTAACCGTTCTAACTACTTTATCATGCTTAATCTACAAGTTTCACAGGAAAAAAACTAAAGGACTGTGGTTTTCATTAGTGCGTGAGGTCTTAGTGGGCGGCCCTGTTTTCTCTTCGGGGTGGTGCACTCAGTAAGTAGGTGCCGCCTAGAGACAGTGGAATGGCGCCTCATGCCTGCCACCTCAGCCACACTGTTTTTGCCCGTTTCAGCTCCGCCCTCCTCAGCCTGCGGTCTACCTGTTTGTTCTAGACGTGTCTCACAACGCCATGGAAGCCGGGTACTTGGCAGTTCTGTGCCAGTCGCTGTTAGAAAACTTAGACAAGTAAGAATAGTTTTGTACTCACGTCATGTCTGTGTGTAAATATACATAGATTTGAAGTGTTGGCAGTTTGCCAGTTCCTCTTTGCCAAGTTCAGGGTGTTCATGTATAAACTATAACATCTTTCCCGTGTACCATAGAATAAGAATTCCCCTATTCGTATTATTGTGATTTAAATGACTTAGCACCTGAATCGTAACGCCATACAAGTTTTAGCGCTTCATCAGGAATGCTGATCTAGGGCCGGGGATTTAGCTCAGTGGTTCCACCGCCTGCCTTGCAAGCACAAGGTCCTGAGTTCGATACCCGGTACCAAAAAAAAAAAAAGAAGAGTGTGGATCTCGCGTGACTGCCCGTAATGCAGCGGGCTCACCTGTCCAGGGGCACCGGGCTCGGGCGTCCTCTGCCTCGTGGCTGGGCCTGGGGGACGGTCGGTGTGTAAAGTGACACAGCCAGGCAGTGGCAGACAGACACGAGTGTTCTGCTCCACCTGGGTCTCCTGCAGTGACAGCAGAGCAGAGCAGGGGTTTCTGAGGTGTGGGGCGGGCGTGGGCCGGAGCCAGTGCCCATGGGACGCCGGGTGTGTTGCTCTGACTACCTCTAGGCAGTGGCGGTACATTGTACTCCTCGAGAACGCCAGTAGATTCCAGCTGTTCTCCTCACAAAGATGGCAACTTGCGAAGGGTTACATATGTTCTAAATAGCTACATGTAGTCATTCCACCCTGTGCATCTATCTCTACACATCCTCTTGTACACAGTAGATGTATACAGTTTTACCCGTCAGTTCAAATAAGGTAAAAGCTAAAAATGTTTAAAAATCTGAGTGGAAGAGATGTAGCCATAGTCCCACTGAGCAAGGAGGCTCCTCCTGAGGCAGTTACAGTCGCAGTCGCTGTATGGGGGAGCAGGGAAAGCAGGAAGCCCCTTAGTGCCAACTTCCGAAGCTGGGGACTCAGCTCCCCGCTTGGGCTCCTGAGCAGCGAGCCGTGCTGTGCAGTGGGAGTGGAGCACTGGGTGGGCACTTTGTCCTTGGCTCCTAAGTCCTGCCCGTGTCTGCCAGTGGTGCTCATCCAGGAGTCTTCTCACAGCTGGCGATTGAAGCGACCCCCAGGTGGTCTCCCGGATCCACGAGAGATAGGACTCGAGGTTGTGGCGAGAGTGGTCACTTCTGCGGTGGCTCTTGACGTGGGCAGGGTGTGGGGTACGGTGCGTTAGTTCTTCGTCACAGGTACCCTCCGTTTCCCCCATCTTGCATTTGAACTCAAGAGCCCTTGCCCTGTCCACTGCTCCCAGTCTCCAGAGCCTGCAAACCACTGATCTTGGCCTGGAAACGCAACTCCTAACACTAAGGTAGCTAGGGTTCTGGAAATCCAGAGAGGCCAGAACGTTGCATTTGGTGCTCTTTAGTGACTTAGCCATTAGATTTTTTACCCCTGGTTTCAGTACTTACCCTTGGTGAATCACACGTGCTTACTCCAGGAGCCGCTTCACAATGTGTGCCAATGGAAGAGCACCCTGCGGAGCGATGTTTGTTTGAACACGGAGTTCTGACCCCGCTCCTGGAGGTACTGTGGCTCCTGAGCTGTGTGGGGTGGCAGCCAGCTCCTGAGCGTGCTCCCCGCTCCCCACTCCCCACTGCAGCAGCACCCTCAGCCTCCCCGCCCAGAGGTCTGAGTGTGCAGCGCCCGCAGGGCCTTCTCACAGCACTGAGTGGCCACTTGGAAGTGAGAGTGCAAAACCCAAAAGATAACTTGGGGTGGAAGATGGTTACATTCGATGATGACGGAAAGTAAAGTGTTAAGAAAGTAAAAGGCAAAGTGAAGGAGCTCGGCTTGGCAGCAGTGTGACAGCAGGGTTTTGTGGTGGGCTCTAGAGCTGTCTTCCAGGAAGAGGAGCATGCACTGGAGCATGTGCAGCTCAGCCTGGTGCATTTTCATCATGAGTGGGTTGCTGAGCTCCATTCACTGGCAAGAAGACCCAATGCTCAGGTACAGAAGGCCAAGGCAGGAAAATGAGTCTGGACACCCAGCCCTGCTGGCTTGGGCCCCAGGACTCTCCTGCAGGCGGCACCTCACTGGGCACTCACAGAAGACAGCTTAGGCCTTGCAGGAACAATAAGCTACACTACGAAGCTAAGAGCGCGGGCACTCAGAGTTACGCTGTGTGAGATGGGCACCCTTATTAAGAGGGGAGGCTGGGCATGTAGCTCAGCGGCACAGAGCCTGCCTGACACGCGCAAGGTTCTGAGTTCAATCCCCGGAACTGGGGGGGGGCGGTGTGGCCAGGCAATGAGATGATCACTAACTTTGGTCAACTGGACACCAGCTTGAAGACAGTTCTGGCAAAACTGTTAAAAGATTGATAAACGTTTCGGTGTTCGTAACTGTTTTAAATTTTGGACATGAAATTTATTGGCATTATATCAGTCTTTTCATGAAAACATTCGTTTGTCATTTTGTCTTTCAAATGCTTAAGTAAGGCATACTATCATAATGTTGGGACTGAAAATGTAAGTTTTTACTTAAAGGAGTATGTTTCAAAGGAAAGTTAGGAAGAAATCTTTCACTTTTTAAAAAATCTCACTTCTACTTTTGGTTTATTCTTATGTGAATACTAATACTGTTTGGTTTTCTAAAGTATGAAGTCTAAACATATAAGTGGTTTCATCTGAAAATGAAATGTGTCATCTTTACTCTTCTGTTTTATGTTGGTTTAGAGTTAATTTTCTGTCTCCCTGGAAAGTATAGTTATCATTAGACTTAGCTTTCTGTTTCATTATTTTCTGATAGTAAATGTTACTGAGTGCTTGGAATTTAAAATTGTCATTTTTGTCTTCAGGCTTCCTGGAGATTCACGAACAAGAATAGGATTCATGACCTTTGACAGCACCATTCATTTCTACAATTTACAAGAGGGCTTCTCACAGCCCCAGATGCTGATTGTGTCGGACATAGATGGTAAGCATCCCGCATGGTGGAAAGTCCTTCTCACCCTGGCATCGGGACGGGCACTGCACTGGTTTGCAGCACACACTGTCAACGTCCTGTCAGAATAGTATGGCGCACTGTGGCGTTTGTTTTAAAATGATTTCCTGGAAGCGTTTGATCCTCAGTGTTTTACACCTGTGTATGTAGTGTACACACATTTGTACAGTATATTCAGAGCCTGTGTATTTAATAAGGCAGTGTTACAGTACACGTTGCATGCGTACCTTGATGAAAACTGACATTTTCTAATTTATTATATCTTCTTGGCTTTATTTGTTGACTAAGGTATGTTTTCCCTATAGATGTTTTTCTGCCTACACCAGATGGTTTGCTTGTGAATCTATATGAGAGCAGAGAGGTGAGACTGGTTTATTTTCTTGGCGTGTCGAGTGTCTGTGCCACCCCGTCCCCTGCTGTGTGGGTGTTAGCAGGCAGTTCGGGAAGCAGTCCTGATGCAGTGAGTGACACGGCGAGGCTCTGGGCTGTTTGGGACAGGATGTTGCCTTGCCGTCTCAGTAACTGGATGTTTTGTCTTTGTTCCCCAGCTTATAAAGGTCTTGTTGAACGCATTGCCAAATATGTTCACCAGCACGAGAGAAACACACAGTGCCCTCGGCCCGGCGCTTCAGGCCGCCTTTAAATTAATGTCTCCAACAGGTGGCCGTGTGTCTGTATTCCAGACACAGCTGCCTTCCTTGGGCGCAGGGCTGCTGCAGTCCCGAGAAGATCCCAACCAGAGGTCTAGCACGAAGGTATTACATTTGCCTCAGACCTGTCCCTGCCTCTCCTGATGGTGTAACAACTTGTTCATTATGCTGCTGTTTGACTTAATTAATTATTAAAACATCAGAGAATTTAACTGAAATTACTTTTTTTATTTCTGTGAGTATTCTTTTACTACTTTGCAAGCCAGAAACTTTTAAAATTGGCCAGGTGTAGTGATGCACGCCTGTAATCCCAGCACTTGGGAGGCTGAGGCAGGAAGATCACCATGAGTGTGAGGCCAGCCCGGGCTACATAGTGAGTTCAAGGCCAGCCCGAACTACATAGGATGATCCTGTCTCAAAAGATAAATTAATTAAAAATCATTTATCATTTCTTCTTTTTTTTTTTTTTTTGGTACTGGGGATCGAACTCAGGACCTTGCGCTTGCGAGGCAGGCGCTGGAACCCACTGAGCTACATCCCCGGCCCTATTACTTCATTTTATAAATGAAGAAACAGATTAAAGTGTCTTGGAAAAGGTTGTATAACTTTTAAGTGGCAAAAATGTGGGTTAATTTTCGTATTCTGGTTTTCTCTTGTGATACAAGCGGAAAACTTAGTAAATCTGAGTTACCATAACATGTTCACACTGATAAACTGTTTAATTATAAAGGTGTTCTACCCATCATTGTGTAAAATGGGGAAAGTAGAGAAGAAAAATAATTCATCAATAATTTCATTTTTAAGTTATTAGCATTTAAAACACACAAATAAGCATAATTACCCATCATACACAAAATTGTTTGGTTTTTTGGGGGGAGGTACTGGCGATTGAACTCGGGTCCTTGGCATTTGAGGCAAGGGGTGGAACCACTGAGCTAAATCCCTAGCCCACAACTATATTTTTAAAGTGCCATTGATACCATTCTCTGAGATCCCTAAAACTCTAAAAAATACATATATCTTAGGAAAGGTGAAATTACTTCATTCAACTGAATTATTCAGTGGCTGGGCAGCGATTATTTAAACCTTCCTTACTCGGATACTCTCACTCTGAAGCCAGATTTCTTGGGCTCGTGGTCTTAACATTTTGCCGTGCAGTCCTTGTGTGTGTCATCTTGGCCGATTTACTTTATTGGTTTTTGCTTCAGTTTCCTCATCTGTAAAAGACAGTGTGTCAATGTGAGAATCCAGTTGTTTGATATGTGCAAAGCGTCTACAGCAGTGCTGGCCCCTAAGTGCTTTTTATAAATACAACACTGCCCATTCCTGCTGTAGGAATCTGTCAGCCACCAAGGTTCTGTCGGAACTCCCCCTCGGTGGGGACAGGAGGTTGTCCTCCCCCTGGCTCCGAGAGTGAGCGAGGCAGTGTGCGTACTTGAGGCTGCTGGCTCTTACTCTGCTCTCTCGGCACAGGTGGTGCAACACCTTGGCCCTGCAACCGACTTCTACAAGAAGCTGGCTCTGGACTGCTCAGGCCAGCAGACGGCAGTGGACCTCTTCCTCTTGAGCTCACAGTACTCCGACCTGTCTTCTCTCGGTGAGTTTCCCTGTTGACGTGCACATTTTCAGCACGTATTAAATCTACACTTTCAGCAAGCGTGCTCAGCACCTTGGAGAGAAAGGTGTGTGAGTTCCGTGCATAAGGTCTGTGAAGAGTACTGGTAAACTGTAATATGCCGTTAGCATTTTGTTTATACAACGATTCCCTGAGCATTCTGCTCAACAATCAACATTATCATATTTTATAGAAATGTTTTCTGATTTATGTTACTTGTATTTTGACAGCTTTAGCTTTCTCCTTACAGCTTAGATGTCTTCACAACTTGGAGTATGTGCTGCTGTATGAGTGGGATATCGTGCTTCTACAGCTAACACTTTCTGGCTTCTCTCCAAAGCTTGCATGTCCAGATATTCTGCAGGGTGCATCTACTATTACCCGTCTTTCCACTGTACACACAACCCTTCCCAAATGGAGAAGCTGCAGAAAGACCTAAAGCGGTACCTCACGAGGAAGATCGGATTTGAAGCCGTGATGCGGATACGGTGTACGAAAGGTGGGTGGGTGACAGTGTGCGGTGCCTGCATGCTGCTGCACTGTCTCCCATGGGTGATTACTGGGCAGAACCTACCTAAGTGGGTAAGAGTGATGTCTGGCTCATCGAGAAGGACCCTAAGAGAAAGCGCGTCTTGGAAACGATGCGAGGAGAACTAGGGCACTGGGGAAGCTCTTAAGTGGAAACTAATTCAGAATGCTTGCCTTTGTAGGCCTCTACTCTGTATTTCCTTGGGTTTATGTGAGTGCTTGCTGGTGGGGTTCCGATCCCTTACTTCAAAGCTAAGTTGTACGGTAATCCTTGTTTAGTTTGTTTCCTTAGGTCTCTGACTTCAGGTCCCATGGGAAAATGTTGTTTGTTTGTTTGTTTTTTCATTGTATTTTATTGGTACATTTTAGGTACACAGTATAATGCCATTCATCATTGGAAGTTTGCACCTTTATATAACCTCTCTTGGTTCTTATTTTTTTCCCCCTTCCCCTGCCCTCCCTTTAACCCCTCCATCCCTCCCTATTTACAAAGACTTTGTTTCCAGTTTTTCATTTTCTCATATTAATTCCATTCCCTTCTTTCCTTTCCCCTACCCCTCCTACTTCCTCTTCCCCTTTGCCCCTTTTCTTCCTATTTCACATTGTCAATTATACCTTTTAGTCCTTATTTACACTTTGAGTTTCTCACACCAGAGAAACTATTTGGTATTTATATGTGTGTCCTGTTTATTTCACTTAAGAGTATCACTTCAATGTGCATCCATTTAGCTATAAATGTCTCTCATTTCTCATTTCTTATGTCTGAGTAGTACTCCCATTTTATTTTAAAAACCACATCTTCTTTATCCAGTCGTCAGTTGATGGGCACTTGGGCTGCTTCCAAGCTTTTGCTATTACAAACTGTGCCGCTATAAACATGGGTGCACATATATCGCTGTGGTATTATTCTTTTAATTCTTTTGGGAAGATCCCAGCAGGGGAATGGCTGGGTCAGATGGGACTTACCTCCCCTGCATCTGTCCTTGGAAAGTGGGGTACTGGAGCGTCACCCCTGGGATCCACCTGACACCCATGTGTCTTTTTTGATTCAGAATTAGAGGCATCTTTGACTTTAAACAGTGACTTTACCTTGAAGCAAGAGAGTGCTGTTGCTTGAGCTTTTATATAAGATTTCTCTGCTTCTCAGGTCTTTCGATGCACACCTTCCATGGGAACTTCTTCGTCCGGTCCACTGACTTGCTGTCTCTCGCCAACATCAACCCTGATGCTGGCTTCGCGGTGCAGCTGTCCATTGAGGAGAGCCTGACGGACACCTCCCTGGTGTGCTTCCAGACAGCGCTGCTCTACACGTCCAGCAAAGGTCAGGCCTGGGGGCCGCGCCACAGCTGGCCTCCCTCCTCAGGCACTCCCAGGGTCCAGCTGGGAAGCGGGGGTCCCTGCGGGTTAGTCAGGCTTGTGTTCCTAGGGTTTTAACTCCCTTTTTTTTTAATCTTCAATAATATGTGCATGTGCACACACACATGTCTGTGTATGTTAAACTTAGATGCCTAAAATCATGTGATTTTGGTAAACAATTCCTCCTAAATCCATCTGTGCCATTCTTGGCATTATTTCTTGCTCTTTAAAATAGGCTTCTCATTAAACTGCTGTGTGGCAGTTAGGCTTTCACTTGTTACGCAGCTGAGCTTTCGGATATTTCACTTGTTGGGTATAATTTACAATAAGTGACACTGAAATCAAAATGAGAACCTAATGTTCAGCAATATGTAAAATCGTGTGTGCCAAGTGTGGTGGCGCACGCCTGTGACCCCAGCACTGGGAAGCTGAGGCAGGAACGTCACTCCAAGTTCAAGGCCAGGCTGGACTACACTGAGTTCATGTCCAGCTGGAACTACACAGCAAGACCCTTTCTCAAGAAGCCCCCAAATTGTGTGTGTTCATAGTCTGTAGATTTGGAAAATGTTTCATTTTCTTTCAAATGTGTTCATTGTAAAACTTTGGGGGGTAAAAAAAAAACTTTGGGTTTTTTTTTTGGTACCAGGGTTCGAACTCAGGTCCTTGCGCTTGCAAGGCAGGCAGTGGAAGTAAAACTTTTGTTTTTACATTGCATTTTACATTCCATTTTATATTGGCTACTTTAGATTTTTAATTTAATCTAGCTAAACAGTACCATGAGGAAGCTTTTGACTGGTCGTCTGTCTGTCTTTCTTTTTCTCTTTTCTTTCCTAAATGACGTTTGCTCAGGTGAGAGGCGGATCCGAGTCCATACCCTCTGCCTACCAGTGGTGAGCTCACTAGCAGAGGTGCACGCAGGAGCAGACGTGCAGGCTGCCATCTGTCTTCTTGCAAACATGGGTGAGTACAAAGTTAAGGGGCAGGAAAAACATATTTTTTATCCTAAAAACTGAAGCTGGAGCTATTTTTTAAACCCTAGAAGAGTTCTTCCTTTAAAAACTGTACTTTTCATTTTGTTTTGTTTTGTTTTAATTTTTTTTTTGATTTTTTGAAATGAGTTCTCACTGTGTGGTTCAGTCTAGCCTTGAACTCACTCTGTAGCCCAGGCTGGCTCGAACTCGCAGCAGTCCTCCTGCCTCAGCCTCCCAAGTGCTGGGATTACAGGCATGGACCACCACGCCCACCTCTCCATTTTCGTTTGCTGCAGGGTAAATTAGACTCTTCCACTTCTTAGTAATTCTCAGTTTTACAATCAGTTGAGGGTTCGTGATCACTAAAGCTGGTAAAGCGTAATGTCCTTCAGCTACAAAGGTAGGAACCAGCTGTGTGTTCAGGAGGACACAGTTCCACAGTGCAGCAAAGGAACCCAAGTGCTGGAAGGCGCGGACAGCTCAGAGCCTTGTGCCAGTTGAACACAGCTAACCCAAAAGGCTCCCATTCGCCTCCATTCTCATGAGGTTCTGGGAAAGGGGCAGTTACCCGGTGGGGATATCGGTGATTGGCGTGATCGGGGTCCCCACAGCGGGCACTGCAGGGGTTGTTTACACAGGTGTGCATTTGACACATAACCTACCACAGAACCATCCTCAAAAAACAGTTTTACTGTAGGTAAATTTTTTAAATCATTTGTAGATCAATGTGTTTTTATGATATATTTAGACATGAAATGAACTTTGCTATTTCCTGTATAGTTCTGGAGGGAAATAGTTATTATTACTCAAAATTATAGTAACATGTACTAAAGAAACCCCGCACCATCCACCTTTTTGGAGGGGCTGGGGATTGAACCCAGGATTTTGTGTTAGGTGAGCACTTTACCACTGAGCTATCCTAGCCCAAGATCTTGATCTTTTAGGTGTCATTTTATATTTAGATTTTAAGTTATCTACATGGTAACTGATAGCTTTTACTTTTTTTTTTTTTTTTTTTGTTAGCGGGGATCGAACTCGGGTCCTTGCACTTGCATAGCAGGTGGCGAAACCACTGAGCTAAATCCCCGGCCCTGATAGCTTTTACTTTTAATGCTTGGATATATTTATAGATTGTTTCTGTTTTAATAAAAATACGTTCTCGGAGAAAAATAACTTTCACATTAAGTACTTGTTTCTTCACTGTCTGTATGAAAACCCATATTCACTTGCCCTCTTTTTATTTGTTGACCTGGAATGCTTTGCAAAGAAGATTGTAAAGAATCACAAGAGATGACCTAGATCAGGGAATTTATATTGAATGAACAGGAGGAAAATGATACTTTCTACGTGTGACATCCATTTGACTAATGGAAATGTCTTGTGCTTTCCAGAAATAAATGGATAAGCTGGGGATTTAGCTCAGTGGTCTCACACCTGCCTCGCAAGTGCAAAGCCCTGAGTTTGATCCCCAGTACCAATAACAAAAAAGAAAAAAATAAATGGATAGTATACAGTATGTTCTGCAACAGCAATAATGGCTGAGTTTTTCAGTGTAAAAAATTGAAACAAAAAAATCCAAAAGAATGTAGACTTGTTCTGATTATCAGATTTCCTTAGATTTAGTTTTTTTAAAAATGTGTAATGAACAAACACTTCAAATGAGAGCAGGCTGGGCGTGCCAGTGCACGCCTGTGATCCTAGCACTCAGGAGGCTGAGGCAGGAGGATTACCACAAGTTAGAGGCCGGCCCGGTCTATGTAGAGAGCCCAAGGGCAGCCTGAACTAGATAGTGAGACCCTCTCTCCAAAAATGGGGGGGGGGAGGCAGATGCAGTGCATTCTGTGTCCCAAGAAATGAAAATATAGCCAGCAGTTGCAGCGCTCACTGGCCTCTGATGGTGACTGCCTTTTGCTGCGGTTGCCTTGCAGCTGTGGATCGATCCATCTCATCGAGTCTGTCAGATGCCAGAGACGCCTTAGTGAATGCAGTCGTGGACTCGCTGTCTGCATATGGCTCCACTGTCTCAAACTTACGGCACTCGGGCTTAATGGCGCCCGCCTCCCTCAAGCTGTTTCCTCTCTATGTCCTGGCTCTCCTCAAACAGGTAGCCCTGTGTGCTGTTACCTTCAGTGCTGTCTTTAAAATGCTCAGCTGTGAAAAATGAAGTCTGGTTGTTGCTTTTTGTTTTTTTGTTGTTGTTGTTGTTGTTTTTGGTACCGGGGATCGAACTCGGGTCCTTGCGCTTGTGCAGCAGGCAGCGAAACAACTGAGCTAAATCCCCGGCCCTGGTTGTTGCTTTGTGATACTTACCTAGAGGATCGTGCCCTTTGGCACTGGAAGAGGTTTGAAGAATAAGGAAAAAACCATAGAAGATGAAGGCATATACAAGTTAGTATTTGTAAAAAGATGCTTTGTCTAATACCTGTGAGCTAGTTTGAGTAACGGTGCAATCCTAGCCCACTCTTCCTGTGTGCTTCTGAGAAGCGACTCTTAGGAAAGGATCTGATTACTGACCGCCTCTCCACTGTCTCAGGCGCCACAGTAGGTGGGATCTGTCTTATCTTACTTAACCCTAAGGCACTGGAGCGGCAGGCGGTGTTTTCCCGTTACCTTATCCTGACAGTGAAGCTCAGAAGCTGAGTAACTTGCTTGCACCCCTGTTAAATGTCTGCCCAAGACTTGAGCCATGGTCTGATTTGAAAACACTTCTCCATAGTTGCTGGCATGTTTGTCTCTGTGGTTTACTTGAAGACCTATCTTCTTACAGAAAGCGTTTAGAACGGGTACGAGTACGCGGCTGGATGACCGGGTGTATGCTATGTGCCAGATCAAGTCCCAGCCGCTCGTCCATCTGATGAGAATGATTCACCCCAACTTACACAGGATAGACAGGCTGACGGATGAGGTACGCACTAGTGCATTGGAAGTCACTCGATTTGAGCGTGTGACGGTCTCGATTATACACGGAGTCATGTGATAGCACGTTCAGGGGTTTGCTTCTGTTCCCCGTGGTAAGGAAACATTACATGAGGGCACCAGCTGTGGCTCTGACTGGACGATAGGACACTAGATACTCGCAGTGACTCACCTTGCAGGTTTGTCCTAACATTTGTTGCAAAGCTAAGCTGTAGAGTGGACATTTCTGTTTGTGTTCTGAGGTACTGATAATTTCTGATACAATCACATCACAGCATCGATTATTTAGTAAACTGAATCTGGTATCCAGCAATAATTCTAATGTCCAAATGTGTGGTTCTTTTTGGTGTTGGTGTTAAAACTATATTCTTTGGAATGAGTACTCATGCCAAACATAATACTATGTTTCTAAAGAAATGTAAGGACGCAGCTTGTGGGGCAGTGGGGCCAGCGGTCAGGCTTTCACTGTTTCCGAAGCCTGAAAGGGAAGTCAGCAGGACAGAGCATTCCTGTTCGTATTCTTCATTGGGATATATTTGAGTTTCTTCATTCTACAACCAGTGTAGCGGTGTGTACAGTCAGCATCTTTGGCCTCCTGCAGAATTCCTGAGTGTCACATCCTAAACTAGTGGCCAGTGAGCCCCGCACCGTGCTGTGCAGTGCCAGCCTCTTCACGCTGCCCCTCTCCCCCGCAGGGTGCGATCCATGTGAACGACAGGGTGGTGCCTCAGCCCCCTCTCCAGAAGCTGTCTGCGGAGAAGCTGACGCGAGAGGGCGCCTTCCTCATGGACTGTGGCTCAGTAAGCACCTCGGTTCGGCTGGCTGGGGGAGGCCCTGCAGGGTTGCAGCAGTGGCCGGACAGAGGCCAGCTTGCTTCAGGCTTTTCTAGCTGACATCATGTTCTTAGCAGAATTACTGAGTTTATTCTTGTGCGTTATACGTACTTAATAAGGAGAGGAAAGAGATGCACTCTTATCTCCAGGCACTCTACTGCAAGAACCAAAATTCAAAGGGAGTTTGAGAGTTTCCGTGGCTCAGCTTTAGTAACCACTGTCAGCAGTCTCAGTGAGGAGGAGTTTACTTAGGGGGGTCATTGCACAGGGATGGAAAGGGCCATAGAACGGTCAGCTTCACAGTGGTCCCCACGAGCGGAAAGAGGGTTTGGGTAGCCGTGGAAGAGGGGCAGACCCCTGAGGTGAAGCAGAGAGCCAGTATTAAAGTAGCAGAAGATGCCTGCAGCCCCAGCACTCTGGGAGGCCAAAGCAGGAGATCACAAGTTCAAGCCCAGCCTGGGCAACTTAGTGACTTAGGAAGACTGTGTCTTAAGATTAAAAAATTATGCATTTATTTTTTTTGGTACCGGGGATCAAACTCAGGATCTTGCGCTTGTGAGGCAGGTGGCATCAAAATAAAAAAATTAAAAGGGCTGAGGATGTAGCTTAGTGCAAAGGCCCTGAGTTCAATCTCTAGTACCACCACACAAAAAAAGGGAAATATAGTGAGTCAGTTATTCTGATTGAAGTGTTACATTCCGAGTGGAGAAATACACAAAGAAGAGAGCCAAATATCTTCTCTGAGAACCCTTAAAATTTAAGGAATGAAGATATGACTTACTCTAAGCAGTGAGGTGAACCTTTTAGAGCCCTCAGTGATAACAAATAGCCTACTGTGCCACACGTGCCATAAGTTTGCCACCAGCTCTAGATTGTTGGATTTGGAATTTGATTTATAGTTTGCCAGTCACCAGCTTTCTGTCTGTCTTTTATGTTTGTTCCAACTCTATTTGCCATAATAGACTTGACCTCTTAGGCATGATCATTTTGATAGGATTAGCTGTAATGGGTTTTCTGAACTGTTAAGGAGTTTTCATATTTTATTGCCTTTTTAAGGTTTTTTACATTTGGATTGGAAAAGACTGTGACAGTAACTTCATAGAGGATGTGCTCGGGTTCCCTAATTTTGCATCAATACCACAGAAAATGGTCAGTGAATTTTATACAACTTTCTTTGTTTTGCTTGCTTGTTTTCAGTGTTTTTATTGGCATAGAATTTGTGTAAGATTCACTCTCTTCGCCATTTTAAAGTGTACAGTATGGTGATTTTTACATATTTCTGAACATTTCCATCTCTCCAGTAAAGAAGCCCTATTTCCAGTCCTTCCTTCCCCTCCACTCTGACAGCTGCTGATCTGCTTCCTGTGTGGATGTACCTGTTCCGGATGTGTCATACAAATGGAGTCACAGTAGCTAGGACAAGCCTTTTGTCTCCGGCTTCTCTCACCTCCCCCTACATTTGCGAGACCCTCCCCCGAGTGGCTTATGTTACAGTTCATTCTTTTTTACAGCGGAAAACTGTCCGTTGTTGGACGCTGCAGCTGTTTCTGTCTGAGGCTGTCGTGAACAGTGCTGCTCTGTCCGTGTGTAGGTTCCTGGGCGGACCTAGGTTTTCAGCCATACGGCAACTTTTATGTTTACCTTCCTAAGAAACACCAAGCCGTTTTCACACAGTTTACGTTATCTTACTGATACAGGCACAGTTTTTTCACTGGGCCTTTACTGAATGTAGTTAGCCAGTGCCGAGGAAACGTGATGCTGGATTCTGGTTTCATTCATCAAAAACAGGCCTCACTTTCATGTTGTAAATATGTCCTTTTTCCTGAAATTAATGCAAGTCCAATATAATCCTTGTCCTAATCTAGACAGGATTTTTGTTTCTTCCAGTTTGACAAATTAATCCCAGAGTTCATTTCTAAGATTCAGCAAATAAGGATAGTAAGGACACACTTGCAAAGAGGAGCAGTGTCAGCAAAAGGGGGAAGTGAGAGAACCACGCCCTGCTAAGAGCCCTGCAGAGCTGCAGCTGTGTGAGGCAGGCACTGGTGCAGTCGGCAGACCGGTGGGCCACAGGAGAGTGAAACAGAAGGAGCTCCTCAGATAGCCTGTGGCAGAGATTTCATGTCACATTGTGGGAAAGTCGAACAGTAATCTTGGAGCCAAGTGAAGTGGTACATGGCTATAGTCCGAGGCAGGAGGGTCACAAGTTCAAAGCCGGCCTGGACAACATAGTGAGACCCTGTTGTGAAAAATAGAGCTGGGAATAAAGCTCCATGATAGAGTGCCTGCCTAGCATGTGGGAGGCCCGTGTTCAATCTACAGTACCAAGAATAAAAGAATAACAGTAATGATCTTGGGACCACTGATTAGCCGTTAGGAGACAAACCAAAGGGGGATATGTACCTAACTCCATATATCAAAGTAGTTTTGTTTGTTTTGTCTAGTACCAGGGATGGAACTCAGGACCTTGCACTTGCTTGCCAGGCAGGCACAGTGCCACTGAGCTACATCCCTGGCCCTTCGGAGTAGTTTTTAAGTGGATCAAACATTTAAACATGGAAAAAGGATAGGCTGGGGATGTAGCTCAGTGGTTCCGCCACCTGCCTTGCAAGTGCAAGGTCCCGAGTTCAATCTCCGGTACCAAAAAAAACAAAAAAGATACAAACATGGAAAAAGGAAACCGTGCAGACCCCTGGAAGAAGCATTTATGAATATGTATAATTTTTTATACTCTTAGACTGGGAATGGGCTTTATAAACCAAGACTCTTAAAAGTTAACAAATATGAAAGCACAAATATAAAACATTTTTATTTGGTGATTAATAAAGCCAAACCACAGATAGTAAAATTCTGAGGTTATCTGATAGCATAGAATTTCTTTTAGTTACCAGTTGGCAAGATTTTTAAACCTTCCTGGAGAGCCATTTGATGTGAGATGTTAAGATCACATACTCTACAATGCAATAAATTATTTTACTCTTAAAAGTAGATGTAGTTATATATATGTATACATGGCTATAATGTTGGGTAAGTAATATCTGTGCCTAACTGAAACAATTCACATCCAAATGTGTGTGATTTTTAAAAATTTTTTAATAGTGACATGCTTTCCAAATATAATTAACTCAAACGCTTTTATTTAAATTTTATATGCTGTATACTTTAAATTACATAGTATACTTTCACACTGGCTTTGAAAAAGAAAAATAAATATTCCCATATATACATACAAGATCAATTCTCAAAATATTTATTAGTAATTCATTTTAATTAGTATTTATTACTAATTAGTACTATTATATCTTGTTAGTATTAGTAATTACTAAGTAATATTCTTTGTAAAGAGTAGACTCTTGGTCTTTAAAATAGTCTTGCACATAGTTTTTCAGTATATTTACTCATTTACACTGCACTTTAAGGCTCCCCGCCTTTAAATTCTAAGAATGAAACGTGCCGTTCTTCTGGAGTGGTTGTAGACTGGAGTGCAGTGTGTCATCCTTAATGAACTGGGGCCTCACTGGTGGCCCTGCATTTGAATATTTCCTACAGAAGAAGCAAAGGCACATGGCAGTACTGGTGACATGCTAGTCACTGTGTATGCTCTGTGGTTTTACGTAGAAAGATTAGTATTGAAAGTCAGTGACGTATCAGGAGCAAACCTGTTTTCTAACTTACCCAGAAAAGTGGCAACCGATCTGCCGGCGCTGTGTGCTTGCTGCTGTCGGGCTGGGTGTGCACAGAGTTCAGGCCGTGGATGTGTGGTGGGGTCATGACTTAGTACTAACTGTGCCCACATCTCTGAGAGGAAGGGGATTCCTGACTCTCTGTTTCGTCAGACCCATCTTCCAGAGCTGGACACACTCGCGTCAGAGAGAACCAGATCCTTCCTGACGTGGCTTCAGGACAGCAGACCACTGAGCCCGGTGCTGCACGTGGTAAAGTAAGTGGAGCTGCTGGGCCCCGCGCAACCTCCAGTGGCACAAGAATGCGTGGGAACCGTGTCCCATGTCCCAAAGTCCCGTGGGTTAGCAGTTTTTAACTTGCGGTCCTGGCAGTGACTGTACTTAGGTCAGTGCCCCTCGCTCTTTCAGAGATGAGAGTCCTGCCAAAATGGAGTTCTTCCAGCATTTGGTAGAAGACCGGACAGAAGCCGCGTTCTCGTACTATGAGTTTCTGCTTCACGTCCAGCAGCAGATTTCTAAGTGAAGCAGGACGAGAGTGACCGAGGAGACAAGACGCATGACCTAGGTAACGCATAGTCTCTCGCAGAAGCACACGGGGACCTTGTCACAGACACGGTGCACACTGCGCGCACTTGCTTGCTCTCTGTGGGGCCTCGGAGACAGACGGAAGGGAGGAGCTGGCACCGCCAGGCCATGGTGCCGTCCCCCGGTGCTGGTTCACCAGTCGCGCAGAGCTCTGCGCTCTCCTCTCGAGCTGGCGGTTTCCGCAGCCGCAGCCCTGTGGAATGACGTGTCACAGTGTAACGTAGCTGCGTTGGTTTTCTTATGAGTCACACGACGTTTCTGGACTCGAGCTCTGGCCAGAGGCAGCAGTATAGGGCTCCTCGTTTGTATGAGTTACTTTTTGACAAGGAATGACTCCTACTCATTGAATGAATTCAGCATTTTTCCTGTAAAGACAATAGCGTTTCCATAAATGAGCTATAGCGAAGTATATATATGATGTACATAAATGTTACATTTGTAAAGAAAATGTAAAAATGTAACTACAGAATATGAATTGCTTAGGCTGTGCTGCATTGTTGGATGACAGCTCTTCGTCCCAGTAGAGTGAGATTGACTAATGCGTATTATGAATTCAGGCCACAGAAACACAAAGCTCTTTGTAATTCTGTTAAATCTTTTATGTGGATTTATTTATGATCAGCCTACTAATTAAAAATATTTTGCTTGACAGTTGTTTTGGTGTTTTTCGGGTTTGTTTTTTGGTGGGGGTTGGTGGTCTTTTTTTACTTACAGGGTATGTTGAATTCACTTGTTGGGGGAAACACTGATAATGCATTCCACTTAGGAATACATGTGAGTCAATACGCTTTCATTAGTTTGTAAACATTACCAAGTACTTGTTTGTATTCTAAAAACAAATGATGCTATTTTCAAAATACATTTAATTACTAAATATGATCTTAAATTGTCTCTTTTAAATCAAGCAATTTCCTGCATAGTGTGTGTGTGTGTGTATGTGTGTGTGTGTGTATGTGTGTGTGTTCGTTCCTGGGGGTAGAACCCAGGGCCTTCACATGCAGAGAAGCAGTGAGCTGCTCTCAGCCCTTTGGTTTCTGAGGCGTAGTCTCACCAAATTCCCCAAGCTGGTTTCAAACTTGCGACCCTCCTGCTTCTGTTCTCTGAAGAGCTGGGCTTAGAGAGCAGTGTACCACACTCGACTACCTACACACCTAGAATGAGAAAATGTTCGTGGCATACGTGACTAGCCTTCTTGTTTGACTTCAAGATTACTATCTTGAACTGTGACAATAATTTTATTCTGATCAAGAAATCTCCCAGAGGCTGGATAAGGTGACACACACCTGTCATGCCAGCACTCTAGAGAGGCTGAGGCAGGAGGATTGCAAGAATGAGCCTAGTCTGGGGAATTTATAGACTTAGTAAAACCCTGTCTCAAAATTGTAAAGAAACAGCCAGGGATTTAGCTCAGTGGGGTGCCTGCCTTGCCAGTGCAAGGTCCTGAGTTTGATCCCCAGTACCCTCCAAAAAAAGTTAGGGCTAGGGACATGTAGCTCAGTGCAAAGGCCCTGGATTCAATCCCCAGTACCACCAAAAAAGAAATCTCAGGCTGGGTGCAGTGCCTTATGCCAGCAATCCTAGCTACTTGGAGGGCTGAGGCAGGAGGATTGCAAGTTCTAGGTCAGCCTGGGCAACTAGTAAGACGCTGTCTCAGAATAAAAGACCTGTAAAAGATGGAGCAGAGCAGTGGTAGAGCCCTGATGGCAGTCCCCAGTGACCTCAGGAGGAGGAGGAGAGGAGAATCCGTGGGCAGGGTCTGCAGCTCAGGGGTGCAGCCTTCACTAGGATGCGCCAGACCCTGGGTTCATTCCCAGCACCTCAGACAGAAGAAAGAAAAGGAAAGGAGTCTCATTCACTGGCAGCTTACTTACTGTGAAACTCAGCGAGCCATTCGGCTGTGGAATGGCATTTGTTTTTGTGCCCTGTGAAGTCCCTGTGGATGAATTTTGGAAGGGAAGGGCCCTTGATGTGTGGGGCCGGGGGCTTGCACTGATCCTGTGCCCCACGACCTGTTTTCTTTAGAGAAAAACAGCGCCGCCTCACCTCTGGGGGGATGAGAGGAGTGGTCAGCCTAACCAGCAGACTGGCTTACCAGCAGTGGCAGAGCTGGTGATAGAGCCCATGCCCTCTCTCCCCGGCCCAGGACCCAGCCCTGGCCGCGCCAGCTGCAGTAAGCTCCTTGGGGGACACAGGGAGGAGCTGCAAGACGCCCATCACTGCCCCAAACCCCAAACGCCGCGCTCCTCTGTCCTTCGGTGTTGTCAGGCATTCAGTAAATACGAGGCCCTGAATTCTTGCCAGACACTGACCGGGCACACAGCGAAGGCCAGTGTCCACGAGGCTCACTCCAGAGCAGGGGTGCCGAGCCCCTTGGAGCTTTTGGGGACAGCCTGCAGGACACGCGTGCTGTAGGTTCGCCCTATGCCCAAGAGCGAGAAGGGCGGCTGCAGAGAGGGGGTCAGAGGTGGTGACTGCTGAAAACCGAGGCCGGCAAAGGGGCCGAGCGAGTGCTCACAGAACGTGAGCCCCACAGAGGAAGAGCTGCCGCATGGGTGCTGGGACTGGCCAGGGTGGCAGTAACCAGCAGCTTCCCCGAGTTCCTGTGTCCACACAGCGCAGAGAGGTGGGAAGGCTCGGTCAAGGTGACAGCCAGTGCCCATGGGAAGCCACCCAGCACCCTGCGTCTCCCTGCAGCGACTGTGAGCACTGGAAAGTTGGGTTGATCAGGGCTGGGTATGAGAAACGGCAGCAAGGGAATGGAGGAAGTGACTCACGTTTAAGCTAAAGGGACACAGAACAGGTGGCAGACGCAAGGCAGGGACTGGCTTCGTCTGCAGGGCTTCTGAGGTCCCTGCTGCTCGAGTACGGGTTCCAGGAAGAAATGAGCTGGAAAGATAAGTAATGGTCAGCGTGTGGGGTGCTCGGGACTGAAGGTCCTGTATTGAAATCAGTGGGATCTATAGTGTGGTGGAGACAGGCAGCTGACCTACAGCCCCGGCTTTTCAGTGGGTCCTTTGATCATTAAAATTGCCACCAAGGGACTGAATGATGCCAGCAAGGAGTGGCAGGGCCCTGGCATGAGCTTGGAGGACTTGGGGTAGGCAAGGAGAAAGCCGTCTGGATCCTTGCAGGCAGCAGAGGCCGCTTCTCTGGGGCGTCAGTGACAGGGTAGAGACTGGCAGGCTGTGGGGGCAGCTGCTGTGTGAGCCAGAAGTGTCGGGCAAGGGGAAGGCCGCTTCCGGGCCCCTCGCATCTGGTCAAGACTCCAAGCAGTGGTTGGCAGTGCTCCTGCTGGGGTGGAAAAGAGCCGTTTGGCTACACATCAGCTCCTCGTGGCTCATTTGCACCGCCTGGGTAGGGGCCTGACCAGAGCATGCGCTGTGTCGGAGGAGTGCGTGTGTGCGTCACACCGTGTGAGGGCTGCGTGTGACTTGATGGCAGCTCTGAGGCCAGGTCGGTCACAGGCAGCTCGGCGTAGCCTCCTGTTCAGTGTGAAGGAAGACCCACAGAAACTTGGAAACTCACAGCAGCGTTAGAATGACACTGCAGGTATCATCCAGGTAGAATCAAATAACCGGAAGCAAACAGTTTAAGAAAGAAAAGTCAAGCCTGGTTTGGCACGTCAAAGTCCTGAAAGACAAAATGGCAGGAAGATATAACTCACTCATCTCTCCTCTGAGTTCGGACATAGGATCCCTGTACCCCCACAACTGGGATCCTTTCTGTGACACCATAAGGCGTGGGCAGGCGACTGCATGAGGTTTGTAACTTTACAGGAACGCCCGAAAGTCCTTATTTGGATGACGCCGCATCCACAGACTTGTTGCCAGGCAGTGGCAGAAAGGACCCCGCAGTCCTCGGGAGGTCCTCAGTGCTGGGAGCTGTCTGTGGGTGTGGCTGCATTTCCTGCAGCCCAGCTGCCACTCAGTCTGCTGTCCATTAGCTGATCAGTGTGGTGCCCATTTTCACACTATTTTCTAGTTTTCTGTAAGATTTTAAATATTGTTCTCAGTAGAAATGAAATAATTAGGCCCTCGTTACTGAAACAGCATAAACTGCACCTTTCCTTTTAACACTTCAATGATGCCGGAGCCAATGAATATCTGCTAAGTTAAGTGACGTGTAAGTAGAATCAAGCCAAGTTCAGTATAATGACTGGGTTCTTTTAAAGTTAATAGTCTATAGCATTATAATTTTAAATCATATGCCTAAGTTCTCTTGAAAATAAACAATAAGCAGTTTTTCTGTGTTCCTCTCAGCTCTCTATCGAGCAGGGGCTTGGGAGCTACACCCAGGGCCTCGAACACGGTAGGCATCGGCCGCTGAGCTACGCCCCACCCGATGGGTCATTTTGAACTTGCCCCATTGTCACCTCCCCAAGTCCTGTCCCAAGGCAGAATCCGTAATAGCAATATGTTTTACTTAACTGAATGACTACGAAGCTTTCTTACAGTCATGTCATTTCTCAGGGGACCTTGGGGAAGTTGTAAAACTGCTAGTCATGACTTTCTCCTCTTTAATGAGCCTCTGTAGCTGAGCCTTGCTCCAAGCCGTACACTGGGGGCCGGCTGTGCTCTGGGACCTAGACCTGCTACCCTGTTCTCCCTGACTTGGGATGCACAGGGATGAAGGACAGAAAGACATGGAGTCAGCCCAGTGTGTGGGCCCCAGGGCGCTCCCCTCTAGGAGGCACAGGAGCCCCCAGTTTGGGGCTCACCTCGCCTTTATTCACCCGAACACGCACAGGCAATCAGAGTAACGCAAGGTCCCTCTGCTCTCCAGTATCCATCAGTACACGCTCTGGGAAGCGGCCTCACCTCAGCTGTCTTTGCTTTTCCCTGGAACCTGCGATAGCCATCAACCCTGTGTGCAGCCTTTCTCCTGCATGCTCACAGGGGAGGCCGGTTGGGCCTCAGTTCTCTGGTCTCCGACACCCTCCATGCTTAATGAAGTTTTTATGGATGTTTTCTATTATCAGTCTCTTTCAACTCCTGCCCTTGGAGACCAGCTTATGGCTTGGGAGAGGGAGCGCCTGCACCTGTCGGGACCTGCGAAATCGTCATGGAACACAAGGTGCTGTCTCTAGCCTGTCTTCTGTTGATTATCGAACACCGACAAGCAGTTATTTGCAGAGTCAGGACGGACAGGGACACCTGGAGAAATGGGCGAATAAGAAGTTTAGAGAAGAAAAGCTGAGACCTAGAAAGCTGGGCTGGCTAATAGCTGAGGCCTCGGAGACCGTGCCCACACTAAGGAGCGGTCCGAAAGGCCATCCCCAACCTAGTGAACCTAAGTTGGGTTTAGAGCTGACGGCAGTGGCTGCGCCCCGTGTAGGATAGACACCCCAGGCCACCTCTTAGCTCCATCGGATGCTCCGGCCTACTGAGGCAGGGTCTTGCTAAGTCTCAGAGTTGCCCAGACTGGGCTGAAACTTGCAATCCTCCTGCCTCAGCCTCCCAGCCTACAAGAATTACAGGTGTACACCACCATGCCTCAGTCTGATATCTCTTTATTAATAGGAAGCTATGAGCCTTTGAACAGGCTGTTGCTGCTGCTGGGAACACTGCCTCTTTTCCCATTTGGCTGGCTTTCTTCCTTCCTTCAGGGCTGGTGTCTCCTGAGGCCAGCCTGTCCCTCACCCTGCTGAGGGGGCCCTTCCTGCTACGTCCTCCAAGGGCCACTGCACTTCTGGTGTAGCCTTTCATTTGCTCAGTTGTCTGCTCCTGCTCAGCTCCCCACTAGGCTCTGCATAGGCAGCAAGCTCACCTTTTACCCCACACTCTCCCAGCAGAGCCTGGATCAGTAGCTGGCTCATGCCCCTCCACTCAAAAGCAAAGCATGTGTGCTGGTATATCTAATTTGCTGCTGTTGTTATTTGAGACAGGGTCTCAATATGTAGTTCGGGCTGGCCTTGAACTCACGGCGATCCTCCTGCCTCAGCCCCAGAGTGCTGGTGAAAAAGCCCGGAGTGCTGGTCCCTTCCATCTTAGAGCTGACCTGGTTGGAGGGAGGGCAGAAAAGTAGGTCCAGGACTGAGAATGAGAACTGGCACTGCACACATGTGCCCCTGGGTTTGGTCCCCCAAACCACAACAAACGTAGATACCTGTGTACAGGTGTGTCATACATTTAGAACCTGACAAGGATGTGTTTCCATCAGGGTCGGGGCCTGAAGGGGTACTTCCAAGGGTGAGGTTCCCAGAGTAACGAAGGCACATACAGCCAACACCACAACAAGAGCAAAGGTCTCTGTTCCTCTCCACAGCCTCACTTCACTATCATGTAACTTATCATGTAACATGCCAAGTCACATTTACCTATGTGTGTCCTGTTGTGCACATGTACTAGAAGGTGGGGTCTTGTCCTTAGGGTCCTCAGGTCCCCTAGGCTTTGAATCAATCAGAAATGATTTCCTACATTTGTTCACTATGGAGCCGAGACTGTTCTAAGTAAGGAGGCAGAGGTGGGCGTGATGTTGCACAACTGGGAGGCTGAGGCAGGAGGATCTGAGTTCGAGGCCAGCCTGGGCTACATAGTGAATTCAAGGCCAGCCTGGACTATAGAACAAGACCCTGTGTCAAAAAACAAAGTTGAGGGATGAAATCTGGGGTCTACTTTTACTAGAACTCAAAGCACAAATCTGAATGTCAGCACTGAGGAAGGCTGACCCAGCCCTGGAAGCACGACAGAAGAACAAAACTGTAAATGAAGACAAGATTTGTCCTGCACATCAGTGCCCAATCCTGGCTGTGCCAAGACATCAGTGGCTCCAGAAGGCCAGGTGTCAGAGGACACAGGCAATCCAAGGTCAAGGTGAAAAGCTTGGGGTCCTAAGTTACAGACTTCCGGACTCGAACTCTGGCCCTGTGACCTGAGAAGAGTCACCGAGCTGCTCAGCTTTATCTGCTCCGAGTGTCACAGGGAGCATGTGCTTACCCCGTAAGGTTTCACAGTGACCCAAAAGACCATGCAGAGGCACTTCTGCCTGAACCACAGAGGCAGACCCGAGTTTTGGGGAGCCCAATTTGGGGTACCCTGCTTAAGAAAACCTAGGAATACAAAGCTGACATGGTAGTGAATATTGAGAGAGAAATAAAACATTTTTTAAAGCACAAAACCCAGAAAAATCAAAATCAGTAATAAATAAGTTGCCCCTCCCGTAGCTGTGATCCTCTTTCCTACATGTCTTGGCCACATTCTCTTTTTCCTTTTCTTCTTTTCTTTCTTTTGGTACGGGGGATCGAACTTAGGACCTTGTGTTTGCCGGCCGGGTAGGTGTGGTGCCACTGAGCCACATCCCAGGCCCTACATTCTCTTTAACTGCCTTTCAGATGACAATTTTGTGATGTTTTCTATAGAGAATAAAAAGCACAATTGTCCTTTACCAGGACGGGTCAGCTTTCCATTGTTGGTAGTCACAGTCATGGCTGTCAGCTCGGCAGTGCGCTCAGCGCTTCCTCGGGAGCTACAACCTGAAAAGACTCGGCCTCCCTCGTCCTTACTGACCCTTGGATGCTTCAGACCCCTCTCCATCTCTGGCCTAGGCCGGCCACATCTAGTGAGTTGGCCCGGTGCTGTGCAGTGTTTGTGTGGCAGCTGCTCCTGCTGGCGGCTCAAGACAACACGAAGACTTCGAGTCCCAGGAAATACGGCACCGCGCAAACCCAGGGCAGCGCCCCGCAGCCTGTGTCTAAAAATGTCAGAGGCACAGCGAGGCCCTGAGTTGATCCCCAGTACCAAAAAGTAAACAAAAATTTAAAAATAAAATAGAAAGTCACAAAACCATAGGGCCAAGGGAACACACGTGTTCCTGGGCCCGAGGAGAGCCAAGAACCGGTGCTGGTTGGGTAGAGGCGGGCCTTAAAATCCAGCCTGGTTCTGGTCCTGCGTAGAGCCCGGAAGGGCCAGCCTGGAGGCCAGAGTGGGGCTCAGCTGGGGCTGGGCTCAGGCAGGAACCCCGCGGAAGCTGTGGGTGAGGGGCATGTTCTGAGTGGATTGTGGTGACTGTAGTGTAACTAAATTCGCGAAGAATCGTGTACATTTTTAATGCGTGAAAATTATGTAAATTCACCTCATAAAGCTTTTTTTAAAAAGCTAAATCACAGATTCAAATGTGAAAGGTTGCAATGTGTAAGCGGTATTTATTCATTTATTTATTGGCTTTTGGAGACAGTCTGTCCATGTAGTTCAGGCTGGGCTTGAACTGGCTGCGATCCTCCTGCCTCAGCCTCTGGAGTCCTGGGATCACAGGAGTGCGCCACCGCGCCCGGCCCGCCCGGTAAGCAGGATTCCTGACCGACTAGGCCCGGCCATTACGGCCAGGCTCACCGTACACCTGAATGGTGGCGGCTTGGAGCCTGCCGACCCAGCCCGGTGGAGATGGCCACTCCTCTCCCAGCATCCCTCCCTCCCTCCTGACTCCTTTCCTCTGGAGCGCTCGCTCACCTCACGGAAGGACTGAGACCTACCTCCCAGGCGGGCTTCACGCTTCCTGTGCTGGGGCCTGGAGCGCCTGTCACAGTCTTATGTATTTATTTGCTGTGGTAGCATTGAGCCCAGGGCCTTTGCACGGCGCTGCGCCCCGCCCCACGACCTTTTACAGTTTTCCTTTTGAGACAGGGTCTCTGAAGTCACTGAGTCCCCAGGCTGGGCTCGAACTGGCGGTCCCGGTACTCGGCCTCCAGCACTTCGGGATCGCAGGCGCATCCGCGGCGAGGCCGAGCAGGACTGTGCAGCCCCAGAGGAGGGGAGAGGAGAGGAGAAGGGGAGGGGAGGGCCCCCGCTCTTCCCCGGGAGGCTTCACCACTTGGCGCGCGTGGGCCAACTTCGCTCCCAACCCGAGACTCCGGCGCGGTCGGCAGCAGGGAGGCCGGTGGGGCCTGCGCTGCCGTGGGCGCGGGCGCTGGGTGCGAGTCCGCCCAGCCTTGGGCGCCGCTTCCCTGAAGCCGAAATTACCTGCGTGACCGAGCGGGCTTCCTCCCGCCTCGCGCTGTTTCCAGAAACAGCGGCTCCCGTTGCTGGGAAAACCAAGTTGCCGTCCTGCGGCTCCTCCAACTCAAACCCGCCTCGATCGAGCAGCCGGCCCGGCTTCGGGAGCGGTTTCCCGGGAGCAGGGCCGGGCACCGCACACCTGCGGCCGCGGAGGGGCCCAGGCGACCCCGCGGTCTCGACCTTCCCTCCCGCCCGGGCGCGGGCCCCACCCGCGGATGCAGCGGGCGGGACCGAGCGGCGAGGGCGCGGCCTGGCGCCGGCGCTGGGGTGTTGGGAGGACACGCCCCGGTCCCGCCTGCTCCTCGGCCGCGCTCCGCGGCAGGACCAGGCCGGGATGCTGGCGCGCGGGCCGCTGCGGCTGCCCCCGAGCCCCGGAGCCCGGGCGGGCGCACAGGTACGGGGCTGCGAACGGGCAGGCGGGCGGGGTGAGTGGGCACCGGGCGCGAGGACCGTCCCGACGCCGCGGCGGGGAGTCACGAGTGTGCTCTGGCGAGCGCGCGTGTGCGTGTGCATGTGTGTGCACGCGCGTGTGCACCAGGTGGCCCGGGAAGCCGGGGAGGCTGAGTCGACCCGATGCTGCTGCAGCCTTCTGCAAAGAGCCTCGCTTCCGCGCCCCGGAGATTAGTTTCAGGCTGTGAAAGAGAGAAACGTTTAGTTTTTATCTTCGACTCTGCAGTGTGAAAGAAGGCAAAAAGTAAGCAGGGATTCCCTTGCAGTTCCACTTCCTATTTCTTCTGGAGTTTTCTTGCTCTGGGTTTTGTTTTTCTTGTTTTTGCTTTTGTGGTTTCCCCGCTCCGGCCAGGTCAGGGCTTCGCGTTTGGATTAATGCAGGGAGCACGCTAATGCATTTTAAATGCTTTCCCAGGCGTACTGACGCCTCAGGGGAAGCGCGCCCGGCGAGGGGTGCAGCCGGTCACCCCAGCGCTCTGGGGGCTGAGTAGGAAGAGTGCAGATTCCAGGCCCGCCCGCCAGTTTAGGCCGAGGAGACCGGGGGGGGGGGGGGGCTGAGGTCGGCAGATCGCTTCCTGCCCGCCCTGGCCTTCACAGCCAGCCCTCCGCTCGACGGCCCGAAGCTGCTCCGGCGCTGTCCACCCTCCTTCCTTGGGGTCCGCGGGGCGCCCGCCTGCTCGCCAACTGCTCAGAGGCTTTGGTGTGAACGGGACGGGGAGGGGCGCGGTGCCGACGCCCTAGATTCAGCCCAGGAAAGCAGGGCAAGAGAGGCGCCTTCGAATGGAGATCGCTGGATTTCATGGGGGGGGGGGGCTTTTAAGAACTGTACTTTTATTAAGTGTTACATTTCACATTCGTAGACATATCCCACACTAGGACCCCCTTTCACTCGGGCCACTTAAATACAAACGATTGCTTTCTGTTAAAGCTGTTTACGAGTTTCCTAGCGCCGGGAATGAACCCTGGGCCTCACACAGCAGGTCAGGACCTCCACCACTGAGCCACACCCCGCCTTTGCCTGGTGTTGTCACGGGGACGCAGCTGAGCCCTTTGCCCGTCTGACGCGAGTGGGGTGCTCTCTCGCTGCCGGCCTGCCGGGCAGGAGGGTGGCTGCCTCATAAAAGGAGAAAACTCTGGGGCTCCTCGGCCCTAATAATAGGGCAATAGTTCATTAATCATCTGGGACCTCTCCAGGGTTTCCGACCTGCAGGATTTTAGGTCGGCAGTCCATGCTATGGGCAGCTTGCTCATCCTGGGAGGTGGACATGATCCTTTCCACCCGTCTGATAACATGCACGTCGCCAGCAGCAAGCCTGGTAGCTGCCTGCTCGTGTGGAGCTTTAAAATCTTACTGTGAAGAGACCGAGAGCAGTACCTTTGCCCTTAGGAGGTTTCAATAGGACTACTAAACCGTTTTCTGCAAATCAGCTTCCTTGCAGGAGGGACATTTTTCATCCTGAGGTCGTGTGGTTGTGTGGTATCCCACTTGATAGAAAATGCCCTGTGACTCAAATGAGTATTATTTAATATAATTTATCTTATGCACTTTTTCCTACAAATATTCAGACCCTTGAAGCCTTTGAAAGCAGCTAGGGGGAAAAAAAGGCAGCTTGTGACCTGACTGCTACAAAATACTAGCATGCAAGGACGTGTCATAGGTAGTGTCTCAAATAAGCATTCCTGGTTGTAATTGGTGCTCTCTGACAGTATGAGTCTGCCCTACAAGAGCCTTGAAAAACTTGAAAACTGTCTCCTCCTTCTGTGGTAGGTGGGTAATTGTGTTTTGGGGTGGGGAAGAAACCATTTGTTGGGTGAATGTGTTTTGTGTAGCTGAGCTGTTTTGAACACGTTCAGCCTGGAGCTGGGAGAGCAGAGCAGGCATGTGCCCTGTGGCCCCGCCTGCCTGGGCCATGTCTCAGCCCTCAGTACCTGGCCGGGCTGTTGTCAGGCGATCGGATCGGGGCTCCTGCTGCCACCTCTGTGTCCCGTGACGCTGCCTCGAGTGATTATGGTGCCTGGTGAACGATAGCTACACAGCTACACACGAGCTTACCTGCTTGTACATTTCCTAACTTGGGATTTCTGCTACTTAGATTGAAAAACTCCCCGATGATTAGAGTTTGTTCTCCTAATACAGCAGTTGAGTCCTCAGAAGCTATGTTTAAAATGTTCAAAAATCAAGTGTATTCTGCAGAGGCTTAAGAATCAAGTGTGCTTTTTTTAACTCATAGAGACAAAGCATATGGTTATCTTAAATCACAAGATGTTAACTTGGTGTTGTTTTCATCTGTTGGATTTAATGAGCAGACCTTGTTTAATACTTCCCTGCTCCTCTACCCCTTGTGATGGAAAGTGCTGCCTTGTATTCTGTCATTCAGGGTTCAGCGCTCTCCCAGGAAGAGGGCAAGTGGCCGTGTTGGGATTGTAATTTGCACCAGAAAAAAACATTGATGCTTTGATCTCAGAGTAATACTTGACCAGTTTGTCTACTAAATAGTAACATTGGCACCTTCCCAGTACTGAGGTATCAGTGCCTTTTAAAAAAGATTTTATTTCTTATTTACTATAATTAAGTGGTATTTGTGCTGTTTTGTAGCACACTCTAACCCCGGAAATGGTTTTGTATGCTGGCAGGTGCATATTTGTTGCATGGGGTACCTGTGAAACTCAGGTAGGAAACCTGAGGCTAAATGTTGGTTGACCTAACACCTGGTATATAAGCGAAATGTGCCTAAGTCGAGGTATGTGAACAGGCAGCGAAATTCAGTGATGTTAGGCTGGCACTAAGACATCTCAGTGCCACCAGCCTGGCTGTGCCACCACTTAGCTCCGTGAATTTAGCAAAGTCATTCCGTCTATTTGGGCCTGTTTTTTTTAATGTCCCCTTTTCAAAACAAGGGGATGTGTCTGATTGGTTTTAAAAGCCCTTTCTATCTTGAAAATTGTCATTTTGTTGTTCTACCAAAGGATGTAAATATACTTTTGAACACTGTTGTTGCCAGTGTCAAAATTGTTGTTTTAATGATTGAAAATTTCTCTTATGATGCTAGACAGTCAGTAGATTGGCACTTTTACATAGTGAGTGTAATAGCTATTTTCCCTTTCAAAAGAAATTGAAATTTATTTGATAAGTTTGGCATGTTTTAATGGAATGGATTCACTAATACATTCTGTCATTACCAGTGTTTTCGTCTATGAATTGTTGCTTATTCAAGAGTGTCTAGCATCAGGATCCTAAACCATCAATAGTCACGTTAGACTCAACGATAGGCATAAATCAGTACATCATACATAAAACACCTGAGGGCTGGGGATGTAGCTCAGCTGCACAGTGCCTGCCTGGCAAGTGCAAGGTCCTGAGTTCAATTCCCAGTACTGGGGAAAAAAAAACCCAAATAGCTGAGAAAATTAATCGCATTCTAGAAGAATGTCTTGTGATCCCCTTGAATTTGCCAGGATTTATTTTGCTTGGTTTTTAAGCAAATACCAGCTTTCTGAGCTGTGTATTAAACTTCATGACATGGGATCCCACACCCAGATGTTTTCACTCAGTTTCTCCCGTTGCCCTAGCAGTTCTGGGAAATGCTGTTGTCAGTTAAATGTGCCCTCAGAGGGACCCGGGGAAGAAACTGCTGCCTAGGCTTGGTTTAGGACAGATGGGTTTCTTTAGAGCCCATGCGGTGTTGATAGTACAGACAGGGAAGTGACAGCCTCTGGTGTGTCCTCCTCATCTGGCTGCCAGGGAGCCTAGGGCCAGATTCCCACCCACCTCTAAAAAGTGTGGGAGACCTAAGAAGAGCAGCTGTGTATGGACGGTACTTGGGGCTTCAGCTTCCAGACCTCGGGTTTTTTTTCCATTCATATCATCATCCATTTTTCTGTGATTACCTTTTAATGGGAAAAAGTAATGCATGAAAAGGTTTTGAGAAATTTAAAAAGTCAACACTTTAGTGTTTAAACAAATAGTGTATGTTCTAAGTAGTAAATTGTGGAAGTATGGCAGACCAATCCTGAATTAGAAAGTTCTGCTCAGCTATGAATCCTTTTACTCCGCGAGTTTCCAATTTCATCAACTCCTCAATGGTATTGATTTTACAAAATTTTACCAAAAGGTAAGAGAAAGCATTGCAGCCTAAGGTTGGATTCTTTCTTCTTTTGCAATTCCTAGGGGATAATATTTCTATTTAGGACTCACAGTAATGATGAGAAATGATGGATAAAATGTGTGCTTATAAGCAATGTCCATTGAAAAGAATTTCTTTGAGTAGATATAAGGGCAAGAAATAGGCAGTCATGAAAGAGAAGCATGCTATGGGGCTAGAGTTGAAATTTCTGTATCCTGCAGGCAGAAACAAGAGGGATGGAAAACACTGACCCTCAGATCAAGAAATGGATGGATTCACAAGTTCACCGAGCTTTGGTGTGGCAAACTTTAGGTGGGAAACATCTTGCAAATATGAATTTTCCCTGAGGTTCTTGTGGTATTCACAGTAGTGTACTGGTTCATGAACTTAATTCATTCCACTTCTGCAAAAGATGGCCACATTCATGTTCGTGCAGCAAAGATGGCCACGGTCGTGTATGTCACCTGATGGCAGTTCGTAAACAAAAACAAAATTTTGCCAACTGCTTGTTTGTGAACCGAATTGTTTGCAAACAAAAGTGTTTGTGAACCAAGGAACCACTGTACTAGATTGAGTACATTGCTTAGTTTGGTTGTTTTTCTCTTTTTTTTCTTCTGTTTTGAACTGCTGAAGAC